ATGGATGGTGTCAACTATGGAAGGGATGAAACTACATTGATATTGTACATCTACTATCACATTGACTAGATGGCAATGGGGTTGGCAATGATGTTTGGTTGTACTTTGGCAACAATGGACAAATGGGGCGTCGGAATATCCGCCTCTGTTCTCCGTGCTTCCTCGAGCGGACAAGCATCGAGAAGGCGTGGTCGGACAGGCTAGGCCGGTAGCCTAGTAAACTTGGGTGCGGGGACACCAACAGCAAACATCTAGACTAGCAACTTTCGAAGCCCGAGGTGATCTGAGCGGTGGTGCCTAGGTGTGGATTTCTGTCGCCTAGGTAATAGCGGACGTTTAGTAGGGGACTGACTTGGTGCACATCCAGTGGCAGACCCCAGAGCTAAGTGCAATGCCACCATTGAGAATGTCACCGTGGTTTCTAAATAGTTAAGCCTTAAAATCTTTGACAGTATTTGCTAAAGGTAGCGACAAGTGGGGCAGTTAAGGAATCAGAGTCGTCTGGTTGTGAGGAAAGGGGTTGAGCAGTCGAGTTGACAAGATCAAGCGACGCGACACAAAGGCACTCGCCTATCAACCATTGTCTTACCATTTACAACGTAGCACAAGTAGTCATATGGTAAAAGAGACAAAGGACTATGCCCATGTTAGTTTCGCCTGTACAAGCAGCTTTAAATATGTGTGCGATAGTGACTGTATATCTACCCACCAAGCTGGACATTACAAACTGCAATTGTAGAGGGTTACTTTGTATGCTAGCTGTTGAACGACGTCTTAATTGCATTGAATCTTAAGGACCATTGCTATTGAATAATATATGCGATGGCAGTGCATGAGGTATGACTACTTATGTACTTGGTGCGTTGGCATTGGCAATCATGAGGTTCCAGTATCGCAGCTTGTCAGTGGCCAAGACGAGGTGGGATATGCAGTAAAGGTGCCTACCTGCTTTATCAAGGTAATTAAGGTAAGGTAGTAGGTGCGAGGAGGCAGTGAAGGGTGAGGTAAGTACAGTAGGTAGGCACTTCCAATACCTTGGCTATTTACAGTTCATGAACATGATATTACAGTTCTCACATGCATACACGCGCGGCTGGGCTAGTGGGAACTCATGCCATTCGTCACCCTGGCGACTTTTCAAACACAAGAGGGGCATGTTAACACAGGGGGCAAAGCTCATGGCTGAACATTTCCGGACAACGCCGATGTATGATAAGTAATTACCAAGATCAGCGAGAGGAGGAACACGTCAAGACATCCCAAATATTACCTGAGTGAGAGAAGAATACCCATCTAACACAGATGACAGCCGATGATTTTAACGTCCCATCTCGCAGTTGACTTTGTATATGCTTGAGAGTAAAGGCCTTGAATACTAAACTTACGTCCCGGTCATTTTGGGCTGTTACCTTAGGGCTACAGCAATACCTGTGGCAGAATGAAGTACCTAATTACTAACAGAAGGTACTAGCTTGATAGTGGCCCAGATCTATCTCGCCGAGATGTGAAAGTGGCTTATCAAACAAATGGCTTGGTCACTAGTGTACCTGTCAGGCTTTCTTGAGCTTCCTTCTCTTTTATTTCCGCCTTCTATTTAGAGTTTATCTCTATTATTCCAAACGCTATGGCCAGTGACCGACCAGTGGCCGCAACGTTGCATTTCCATCCTCCCCTGTCTCAAGCACGGTTAAGGCGTCAAGGGATCTTATTCAACTGTCCATTCAACCGTTGAATGCATGGAAATGTGGACCTCCCAGTAGACGATCATCAGCAACGCCTTACCAGGAATAAAATCGGCTCACCTGGCTAACAAGAAAAGACTCGAATCGCTAGGAATTATTATGCTTCAATACCGGGTTTCCGAGTCACACCCCCGCAATTCATGAGCACAGCGCATATTCATGGGACGAAGTGATGTGGTGCGTTGATGCACTTGAGACTACCTAGCTTAGATGATTGATTGAGTTGGATTGGCAAGAAGAGCATCTAGTGTCAACAATATTCGCTGGTAACCTACGTAGGGTAGATGAAGATTATTGAATTGCTTGACGGTTGGACTTCATTTACCTCGGGCGTAACCCAACGGAACATTCATGATATTGAATCACAATTCGAGGACGGCTACGCCGCTCTCGTTCTCCCAATACTCCCTGTCATCTCGCATTAAACAGATTGTTGTGTAATTACATTGAGATCACTTGTCATCCAGTGTCTTGAATCGCTTATGCCAAGCATAGTCGGCACTTCAAATAATGTCTCACGTGCTCTAAGTACCCAAAGATATGTGGTTTTAGACCCTTGGGACCGATTACCTAGGTAGAAATGGAGATGAATGGGGCCATCGCTATTACAGAATTTCACGTGAAGTCATATCAGATTTGATCTGACCTGCTCGAATCGCGATAACGCAAGTTTCGGGTTTATGATCTTTGACAGGTTTAAATTGCTCTATTACGTGAATTTACTTATGAATTTTCACGAGCGTCCCTAATAGGCAAGTCATTAGTAGCAACTGACCCTTTTAACAATCGCAAATCTTAGAAGCATGATGTTATTTGGGTTTTGCTTCAGCTAGAAGAAAGGCGAATTTCAAGTATCATCGTTACCCGATCTGGCTCCCCTGAAGCCATTGCAGATAGCGCGTTTCACTCAGGTACCAGCCCAATCAATGCATTTCTAGGCCGCGGGTGGCTTTCAAAGCGACAGGGTAGGGTTTAGTATATGATTGGCTGGGGCAACCCTACACCGTCACATAGGCTTGCTTCATCCTTTGATCCTTGTTTTTTTGCCCTTTGACGAAACAAGAGGTGCGGAACTCGGGCCTTTAACCAAAGTGAAAGGTGAACCAATCCTTGCGATTTGAGGACTTGCACCCGTGACAGAGTATGCCTCTAGTGTACATAGACACGCTGAAAGGATGACATTCGTTCTATCTGTAGGCGAGACGGGTATTCCGATGAAGGTGGGCATAAAGAAGGATCGAAACAACAGGGAACGCGAATATAGAAAGGCCAATATTGGGTGGCAGCGAAGGCGAGAAATAAACGGGCCGTGTCAGGTCTCACATCATGTAGCCCGGCGCATGGCAGGCAAACACGGCATAAGAGATCTACGAAGCAAGCAGCACATGCAAGAGTGCCATTGTTGAAGACGAGGGCTGTGCTACGAGATGAAAAGCAGACGTTTAATTAGAGCACATGATGAATTCATAGAGAAAGTAAGAACGTTTAATAAAAGCGAAAGAAGAAAAGAGCTAGACCAACAACTCGTGTATCAGGTGTCGCTTGTCCCTTGTCCAGTAGATGCCTGTCTAAACGCCTGAGAGGCTTAGTTAGAGATTTTCAATTAAGTACTCCGTATCTAGCATGATAATCGAAGAGTCTGTGCTGCGAGAGCCAGGGAATGTGGGGAAGAGATCGGTTTCAAATCCTTGGCCTGGCGCCTCTGTCCAGGGGTGCCACTTTTCTTTTCAACATCAACGCTTCCATTCTCCGACGGAGGTAGGTACACAGAGAACAATGGCATGAGATCCATGTAACGAACGATAGCGATAGAAGAAAATAGAAATGATTCATGGGTATTGGGTATCAGAAGTACCATGACGTGACTAGTGAATACGTGGGTAGGTATCCCAGTAGGTAGGAGAATCCTTTGCTTGCCATTAGGCGCCGGCTCTCAAGGGGGGTCTCCAGACACATGCGACATAGACGCCCACAGTCGAGACGCTTCCACCGCCAGTCGCTTCGCTCCCCGAAAATTGTTCCTGGTGAGTCAAGGGAATAACGTCGATCCTAAGGGACCCTCCCGCCTCTTGATGGCACTTACTTCCGGGCTGTGTAGTTGGGTGTGTTCATGCTCTGCGGAGTTGGAGGCCCTGGCTTTGCGAGTCTGCAAGGGGTGAAAATGAACAACGAGAGCGACTAATTCGCTGGACCTTTGCCGCGCTGCGATTCAGGACAGGGAATCGGGAGACCATTGGTATGAATTAGTTAGTCAACTACTGTCAGGGGTCCGTCCGCTTATTGACTCTGTGCTGTGATGTGCAGTGCAGTGCTATGTCTTGGCTCTAGAGGCAGCCGAAACGAAACGACTGAAACATTCTGACCTGCCAGACCTGGTGGGTAAAAGAAAGTGGTTATGATCGTACCGAGTACTACATAAGAAGGCCTCCCCAACCTCCAAAATCCGCTTTCCTTCTGTTCATCTGCAGGAGCACTCAGGATTCTATCTCTAGACGGTCCCTTTTTTGGCTTCTTTCTTCTTCTTCTTCTTCTTCTTCTTCTTCTTCTTTTTCTTCTTGACACTCCCTTGACGGGCTGGATACATTCCCTCACAATCAAGAAACTTCATCTTCACTTCTTCCACCCCAGTCTATCCTGTTTGTAAAGGACACTGGAATCTTTTTCTGAACGACAGCGTTCACCAACTCACCGACTGAACAACGTACAAGAACTCAACCCTTGTATCACCTGGAACCTCCCGTCCGACGCCGTCGACCTGTTCGAGAAAAAAACAAGATCGCTTAACCCATCTGTGCCCGCCACTGCTCGTCACTTCTAGCGTATCTACAGTCACTGTTGTTTTCTCTCTCTTCCATACAGTCACAAATATTATTCAGTTGGGATATTGTTGTCCCTCCTCACTTTCCTTGCTTAGGTAGCCAAAGCTGTTGTTCCATTACCCACAATACTTTTCGATTCACTGTTCAACCACGGAACAATAACGACTGCAACAGAACCCGCACCCGTGGTTCACCATTCATTATCAGCTCACTGAACAACGAGCCTGAAAGATCTCAAGGGATAAGCCAAGCTTCGATATAAAAACGCTTCAATCCTTTCAGAAATCTTTCATCCTGTAAGACTCATCACAAGGATTTACTCCAAGCAACCTCTGAGCAACACTCGACAATAACACAGTCGTGTCAACATCAACTTCTTTCCGAGATACCCTCACACACTACTTTCATTTCAAACCACACTTTTTTAAACCGCGACAAAATGCATTTCTCATCTGTCGCTACGTGCCTCGGTCTGGCTGGTCTAGCCCAGGCACATATGGAGATGATTTACCCTCCCCCCTTCAAGTCCAAATCCAACCCCAACGCTGGCAGCGATGTCGACTACAGTATGACCGCCCCTCTCGATGCAAGCGGCGCCAACTTTCCTTGCAAGGGCTACCACTCCCTCTTTGGTACTAAGGAGGGTGCCTCGGTCGCAGACTGGGCAGCCGGCGGTTCCTACAACATGAGCATCACCGGCGGTGCTAACCATGGTGGTGGCAGTTGCCAGGCTTCCCTTTCCTACGACAAAGGAAAGTCTTGGAAGGTCATCCACTCATACATTGGCAACTGTCCTGGTGCTGGTACCACCACCTTCGACTTCAAGGTCCCCAGCGACGCTCCATCCGGCGAGGCCATCTTTGCCTGGTCGTGGTTCAACCAGATCGGTAACCGTGAGATGTACATGAATTGCGCTGCCGTCACTATTGGTGGTGGCTCTGGCAAGCGAGCAGACGCCATGAGCAACCGCCCTGAGATGTTCGTTGCTAACGTCGGCAACGGTTGCACTACTGAGGAGTCGTCTGATCTCGAATTCCCCGACCCTGGTCCCGATGTGACCAACGACTCCCAGAAGACTGCTGGCCCCAAGGGTACTTGTGGTAAGGCAGGATCCGGCAGTGGTTCCGGCTCTGGTGGTGGTAACAGCGGTGCTGCCCCTAGCACTCCCGCTAACGGCAACAATGGTGCTGCTCCAAGTGCTGTCCCTACTCAGACTCAACCCGCTGCTCAACCTTCATCCCCTGCCGCTCAGCCATCAGCCCCAGCTGCCAGCGCCCCTTCAGCGTATGTACCCTCTCACTCTTCTATTGTTAATGCCCCTGACTCACAAATCCATAGTCCTGGTGGTGTTTTTGTCACTGTCTCTCAGCCTGCTGAGGCTACTGGTGCCCCTGCTTCTTCAGCTCCCGCCGCAACCAGCACTCTCTTGACCATGACCAAACCTGCTGCTGGAACTGGCGGTCAGCCTGTTCCTACCAGTGTCGGTAGCCCTGAGCCTGCCCCTACCACCCCCACAGCTCCTGGCTCTGGCTCCGGTTCTGAAGAGACTGCTGGTGCTGCATGCAGTGACGAGGGCGCCTGGAACTGCATTGGTGGAACCAAGTATCAGCGTTGCGCTTCCGGCCGCTGGTCTGTTGTTCAATCTATGGCCGCTGGTACAACCTGCTCTGGGAACAAGAGCTCGGCTATGGCCTTTGGTTTCGGTCGCCGACTCGCCATTCGAGGTCGCAAGGTCTAAGGCTATCTCGAAGTAGAGCTGAGCTGCAATTCGGAATATCAAGAGGAAGGCGAGCATCCTAGAGCAGCATATGCCTTGCCTGACGTTCTGGAACAGTAGATGGAAGGGTTTGGGAGTTTTTATCTTCATGTACAATAGGAATAGGAATCAGACTCATGGATCTTTCATTACAATTATTTCGACGTGACTGTAACTGTTGATTGTGAAACATGGCTCATCGCATGGAAGACTTGGTAAGGCAACATTAAATCATACAGCTTAATGCATTCTTTGTCAGGTACTTGGAGTAGTCCTACTCAGACTTGTGGGAAGGTAATTCCAGATAATACTACTAGATATGTAAGTGCAGAGAGCAATGATGATAAAACAGTAATGCTTTACTACCCTAGTCGAGTCCGGGACAGTCCATGCGTGTGCGTGTTGGGGTTTGTATGGACTTCGTCGGATGGAAAGAGGCCGCCTACGACACGTAAACATGAATGATTATTTGGAGATTAAAGACCACTTCTGATGTGTTGTGTTGTTGCGAGAGGAGGGGCTGTGATGCCTACGTACATGGGTATTAGGTGAAGCATACTATCCAGCATGTTGCCAAAAATAGCAACAGCCACAGACAGTGTGGGACGAACTTGTGTGAAAGGCTGTGGTTGGTTAGTTATGCAGTCTGACATTCCTCAAGCACCAAGACTGGACCTTATCAGACAGTATATATACAGTATTGAGAGAAGGCTTTTATAATCTGGGCTGCTGGTGTGGCTGTGCTTGGTCTCGTCAGAAGCCTAGTGGAGTCTTTTGGATGGTGAGATGAAGCTATTGGAAGTTCAGAAGTACATTTCTGACTAGATTAACCAGAGCCCAATAGCAGAAGTGATGGACCTAGCTATTAAAAATTGGTGTCCTGCCTAGCCTGCTTGAAGACGCTGAATCAAGTTGTTGGGATTTGTGAGCTGGCTTAGTTTAATACTCCTTCTGCAACTGATCTACCTTTGGGCAGGCTATAGGAGAAAAGAAGCCCAGGACCTTAACCCTAAGCGATAAAAATATAGGAAAATTTAGCCTAAACTTAAGTAGCTCTTTGCTGAGTTTATTTTAACACCTTTTATTAAGGTTTGGTATCTTCTTGTCCCCCTGAGGGTAGGTACCCAGGTATTTAGGTAAGGTACTACTCAGGTAACAACCCAAAGTGGCCTCTCGCTGGGAGTCCCTTCCCATCAATCAATCTTGGGCGGCGAAAGAGAGCCTGGAGCCCCTCCAGCTTAGCCCAGTCAAGCCAAGCCTGCCTCGTTGACCTCCACAGGGTTAGTTTAGAGGCGACACCATCTAAACCTCACCTCGTCTCTTGTCTTGTTCCCGCCTCTTGTATTTTAGACTCTTCATGACTGCGGCCCTTCTCGCTAAGTGACGGACTTCCGTCTTCGACCACTCCTTCACCCTCACCTCGCGACAATTTATTCATCCTTTTGCCTACCTTACCTGCGACCGCTCGATTTGCGACATCTCCCCGTCTCGACCGCTTCATACAATATCTTTTACCTGTCTATATACCGTATTTCGAACATGACGGGTCCTGCCTCTCCGCAGGCCGAAGGCCCCACGTTTGCTCCTCCCCCGCTGCCCGCGGGCTGGATTGCTCAATGGGATGGTACAAGCAAGAAATATTATTATGTCCAGCTATCGACTGGTGTTTCGCAGTGGGAGGTTCCTACTGAACCAGCCAAAACGGGAAATACTCCAGCTCCCCAAGGCGAACATCCTTACGGCGCTCCCAAGCGTTCGGAACTCATTACGCATCCCGATGGATCGCAGACTGTGCGCCATGCAGATGGTACCATGGAACCAATTATGCCGGACGGCACCAGAGGTGTAGATGGTCCTTCTGGTGAACGGGGTCTCGGAGTATGTCGTCTTGGCATTTCTCGATAGTGTTGAATTATGCTAACAGCCTGACAGAGCATGGCTATGAACGCTTTGCTTGGCGGAAAGAACTCTGGTCATGGTGGCAGCAGCGGCGGCCACAGCTCTAGTCCATTGGGCAATCTTGGTGGTCTCGCAAACCAGTTCCTCGGCGGCAGCCATGGTGGTAGTGGCGGCGGCAGTGGGGGAAACAAGCCCTCAGGCGCAGGAAAGCTCGTTGGGCAACTGGCGTCGAGCTTTATGCACTCGGCTAGTCAGGAGAAGCCTCCTGCCCCCCAAAATTACCATGGCAATTCCAACCAGAGCTCAAGCCATCATCAGGGAGGCCTCGCTGGGCAGCTTATGGGTGGTGTCGCAACTATGTTTGGCGGTAAACAGGGCAGCAGTGTATGTTCACAACAGCAGCGTGCGCCGTTCGCGCAAGACTGACCAGGCGATAGGGACAAAATTCCAACTTTGGCTATAGTTCGGGGCAACAGCCCCAACAGCAGCAGGGTAGCGGTGGAACGTACTCGGGCGAGGCACCAACCTACAATCCTACAGGCTCAGCTTCTTCGGCGGCTTCAGCGCCCCCCGTAGCCGGTGCGCATTCCTATGGCTCCCCATCCCCGAATCAGCATCAACAGCATGGCTCGAACCAACAGTATGGTGGTCAACATCAAGCTGGTCAGAATCAGACATACGGATCGCAACAGCAGCCAGTTTCTCATCAGCCTTTCAACTCGCATCACCAACAGCCCGGCGGAAACCTGCAGTATGGCAGTCAGCAACACTCTGAGCCAGGCCAACAATACAGCGCGCACCACCAACAGCCCGGTCAGAATGGCCCTTATGGAAGTCATCAGCAGCAGCCTGGTTCGAGCCAGCAGTACGTAGGCAACTCTTCTTTTGGTGGGAGCCCTCATGGTTCTTCGAACAACTCGTTCCCTCCTCCTCCGCCAGGAGGTCCTCCCCAACATGGACAAAATGCACAACAGGGACAGCAATACTTTCCTCCACCCCCTGGGCAACAACCACATCAGCCATCTTCTGGTACAGGCTATCCTGATATTCAAGCGCACGGCGGCCACTTTGGTGGCCCGCCTGATCAACATGCCCAGCAGTCACAGGGCTATAGTGCACCGCCAACCTCAGGCAATCAGAACTTTCCTCCTCCTCCACCTGGGGCGCCCCCCGGAGGATATAATCCTTCCTATAACGCAGGCCAGGGGAACCAGCAGTCCTACGGTGGCCAGCCGCAATTCAACAGTGGCGCTCCTCCTGTGCCTCATGGTTCACACCCTCAGTATGGAGGAGCTTACTGAGAGACTACAGTGAACCTGTATGGAACAACCGCAGTATTTATGCTACTCTTTTGAGTTACCGACCACATTCTCGTTTTGGTATGGGATCGCAAGGATATTCCAGGCCGAAGAAATTTATAGCTCGTCACATCCGACACTTGGATGCTTGATATGAAAGTGTTTTTCGATGAAGATGTGTGTTGAAATGAGTATGGGTATCGAAGCTCTTGAGAGGGACAGCAAGAGTGACATGAAGTTGGAGAAGTTACGAGCAATATGATTAACGTACATAGTAGAACGCATTCCACCAAGCCCCTTTTTAGCATCTAGAGTCCAGAGCCCGATGGTGCCAACACCTCCGTTCATCAATTCTGTTTCTTGTTTGCGCCCTCGGTTGTGACTGCAATTTCCTGTAACTTAGAGGCGATAGATCTGGACACAAACCAAGCCACCGCGCTGACAAGAACAAGATAACCAGCTGCTGGGACTAGAGAACGGGGGACGATACCATAATGATACGGGCCGAGGATGAGATCTACGTGTACAGGTGAAGGTTCCTTCATAAGAGCCGCGTCATTCGTAAAGTAGTCAGCTGATGACTTGATCTGGAGCAGAAGAACGGAAGCCTCGCGCTCCCTGCCTTCAGTTTGGATTGACTCTTTTGTCAGCACAGCTTCCTGGCCTTGGCGAGAAGATGAGTAGTTGGCAAGTGATTGAATCAGCTCTGGTGTCTGCCACACGGTGTCCAGCTCGTATACAGCCAAGCCAAACACAGCGGGTTGCTGGCGGCGCAGGCGAATTAGCTTGCTTTCTCTACGTAATCTCATGTTGACTTACAATCGCAGCCCAACATACACGAAACTCATACCGCTGGCCTTGGTTTAGTTTATCAAGAAGCACCCACGTTGCAACGCCGGAAGCGTAATCCTTTGGCCCAGAGGGAAATCTGCAGCTGACATGAGTTCGAAAATTTGGGGCGCCTGGTGTAAGTGTCGGTAGTCTGAAATCGCTCAGCGAAGGCTTCTGTTGGGGAATAGGGAGTGATGCAGGAGCTGTGAATATTGTCTTTTCAACATTGGCGATGGCCATGCTAAGAAGACACAGCAGGCCGCACAGGGCGTATATTATTTGAGTCCTTCCAAGAGACAGCATATTGGTGATGGGGAGATCTGTGCTTGCCCTCTGACTGTTGGCCTTCAATTTTAAGTCCTCCTTTCAGGTTGGGACCAACATGTTAAGCTACCTACTAACGTATTGGTAGGTAGGGACAAAGCACAAGGTGTTGATCTCAAGCGTCACGTGTGATGTCGACCAGCTGCCCCATATCTAGGTAAGTAAGGCAGAACTCACGTGAATGCTACAGACTATTATAGATTTCCCCCTTCTTGAGAATGAAATAGCAATTCACATAGTAAAGTGCTATGGCACAATCCGTCATTCTGATACACCTCGCAAGTTCATATTGGTAGAAAGAGGAGAAATGATGTTGAATTGTGGCCGTGTATATTGCTAATCGTCAAAGCTTGGGTTTGAGCCGTTTGACACATCACAGACCATAATGAAGATCATCGACTGAGCTTGAGCCTCGAGGTGAACGGCAGTTGTGAGCTTTTCTAGTAACACCTGCGTATGTACCACAACAACCGACCTAGATATCTAAGTAGTATCTGCTATCTAGTACTAAGGTAGGTACTTACGAACGCAATGGAATTGCCCCTTATTACGGATAATCATGTCTTGAAATGGGAACTACCTACTACCTAGGTATAGGTAGGTAGGTACTTACCTACGGTGCTGGTACTGAGGACAGGGCGAACGATAAGTACCTAACGAGAAGGGAGTTGTGGTTCCGGGCACGCCCTGGAGATGGCGACAGGGATGTAAACAGATGACCATGGTGCCCGACCAGGATAGCTTCTGTAACCATTTCAGTGAAGAAATAGGATACATCATACTGTCTAGGACTGTGAAAGGGAAGAAAAAAGGAACAAGAGTGGGTGAATTGCTTACGTATGATATTTCCTTTCGTTGAGTTGTATTAATTAGAGGCTACTCCGTACCTTATCCAAAGTTCAGACACCTGGTAAGGGTATGAAGTCCATTATGATTAACACAGGCGAAATGAACGCCACAACAGCCCGAGATGAGATGTCGTTCGACAGTGGTAAATATGGATCCATTGGATCATCGTCCAAGAGAAACACCATTATCTCAACTTGAGTGTGCTGGCGTTGGCTGCCTGGTCCGTGAGATTCTGTTCCAGCCTCTACACGACGATTCTGTGACGCTGGACATAATAATTCCTTGTCGCTGCTGATTTTGATGGAGCGGTGAAGCGAAGAACCATAACAGAAACGACGGAGTGGTAGCCAGAGGGTCCTTTTGGCAACCCCTGGGCCCTGGCAGCTGGCCAACAGGCGCCGGCAGCGGAAAACGCCAACAGGGCATTGCAGGACGCGCTTGCCCCCTTTCAGCCCAGGCACGCCTCGAAATCAAATCAAATCAACAAATCCATAGAAGGTCCAATCCAATCCCAGTGGAGGGTAGCAAAGACTCCCCTGTCTGCCAAATTTCCCCCACCTCACCTATTTCTCCCATCCAGCCCACTCCACTCTGCTAACTTATCACCAAACCAAACATTCGCCCTCGCCTTGTCTCCTCTCTTCCCGTTGTAAAAGCCTTGTCTGGCCTGTCCTTTTTTGTCCTCCTCTTTTCTCGTGGTCCCTCTTCTCTGCTCTTGCATTGCATCGACTTCCTCCATCTCATACTTGTCAACACAATCGTCAGCAAACATGCGTGAGGTCATTAGCATCAACGGTAAGCTATTCCTCCCTTTGGCGTTGGGCTTTCACCGCATCCCTCTGTCTGCTTTGTTACGATGCTAACTGAGCTATTCTAGTTGGTCAGGCTGGTTGCCAAATCGCCAACTCCTGCTGGGAGGTGAGTTTTGTCAAGAATTTGTTTATATTGTTCCGTACTGATTGCTTTGCTAGCTTTACTGCCTCGAGCACGGTATCCAGGTGCGCACGATAACCCCTAAATTTGTCAACAAACACCATGGCCAAATACTGACCAACTCTAGCCCGATGGTTACCTCACAGAGGAGCGAAAGTCCCAAGACCCCGATCAGGGTTTCAGCACTTTCTTTTCCGAGACTGGTATGGCTCAATCTGGGACTTGCCGTCGTACTGTTCTAACACCCATTTCTAGGTCAGGGCAAGTATGTCCCCCGCGCCATCTACTGTGATTTGGAGCCCAATGTCGTCGACGAGGTCCGCACCGGTGCCTACCGCAACCTTTTCCACCCTGAGATGATGATCACTGGCAAGGAGGATGCCTCAAACAACTACGCTCGTGGTCACTACACTGTTGGAAAGGAGCTCATCGACGGCGTCCTTGACAAGATTCGCCGTGTTGCCGATAACTGTGTTGGCCTTCAGGGCTTCCTCGTGTTCCACTCTTTCGGTGGTGGTACTGGTTCTGGTTTCGGTGCTCTCCTGATGGAGCGCCTGTCGGTCGACTACGGCAAGAAGAGCAAGCTGGAGTTCTGTGTTTATCCCGCGCCCCAGACTGCTACATCCGTTGTCGAGCCATACAACTCTATCCTCACCACACACACCACCCTTGAGCACTCTGATTGCTCTTTCATGGTCGACAATGAGGCCATTTACGATATCTGCCGCCGAAACCTCGGCCTCGAGCGCCCTAACTACGAGAACCTCAACCGTCTTATTGCTCAGGGTATGTTACAGCTGTGGGGCTAGCAGTTGCCAGTGGACTAACAACATGTAGTCGTCTCTTCTATTACTGCCTCTTTGCGATTCGATGGCTCCCTGAACGTCGACTTGAACGAATTCCAGACCAACCTGGTTCCTTATCCCAGAATCCATTTCCCTCTGGTCGCATACGCCCCAGTCATCTCCGCTGCTAAGGCTGCCCACGAAGCCAACTCCGTCCAAGAGATGACAATGTCTTGCTTCGAGCCTAACAACCAGATGGTCAAGTGTGACCCCCGTCACGGCAAGTACATGGCTACCTGTTTGCTATACCGTGGTGACGTCGTTCCAAACGACGCCCATGCTGCTGTTGCGACACTGAAGACCAAGCGAACTATTCAGTTCGTCGATTGGTGCCCCACTGGTTTCAAGCTCGGTATCTGCTACCAGGCCCCCGAGAATGTGCCTAACGGCGACCTCGCGAAGGTCAGCCGCGCTGTGTAAGTCAATTCCTTATCCCCTGATGAACGGAACGAAATAATTAACGCGAACGTAGCTGCATGCTCTCCAATACTACCGCCATCGCTGAGGCATGGTCTTCACTTTCTCTCAAGTTCGATCTCATGCACTCCAAGCGTGCCTTCGTCCACTGGTACGTGGGTGAAGGTATGGAGGAAGGCGAGTTCTCTGAGGCTCGTGAGGATCTTGCTGCCCTGGAGCGCGATTACGAGGAGGTCGCCACCGACTCCATGGGTGAGGAGGAGCTCGAGGCTGAGTACTAAGCGGTCACGGATGTGATTACTGGAATACCGACTTCTACCCAGTCCTAGCCTGTCAACGATAAAGAGGTGTATTTTCTTATTTTCACAAAGGTCAAGCCAAAACGAATTTTAATGTCAAAAGGGACCAAAATCTGTACATGGATTGGTTGCCTCTCTGCAGCTTCCATGCCTGAGCCGTTGGCATCATGTGAGGCAGTACCGTAGTTGCGAGTATTGTAGTTGTAATAATGCAAGATACCTCTCCTTACAACAAAATTAATTATCCGCCAGCTAAAGAAGTCCGCGAATGTCATGGAATAAACAGTGCGGGGAACAACGGGTTTAGAAAGCCGCCCCGGCCCTTGAACTGTAACCGTATCGGTACTGTAGATTGACTGTACCGAAGCCCGAGAGCTCGGCCCATTTTCCGGGGGGCCGATAGTACGCGGATTGTGTCCAATACAGTACTCAGACCTCCCTCCAAGCTCGGTACTTCAATATCCTCTACTTGGACGCATTTCAATCGAACGTGCATCGACTCCTGTATTGACTTCTCACGAAATTTTCAAGTATGAGTTTCTTGCGGTCCAGCGTCTGCAGAGCTTGTCGCCGTTCGCAGCAGATTCGCTTGCGTAGAGGCCTTGCGACGAGCAGCAATCAGTCATATGACAACCGGGTGAGGCTCGTCGAGGTTGGGCCTCGGGACGGCCTGCAGAATGAGAAGAAGGCAATCCCGTTGGAGACCAAGATTGAACTTATCGAACGATTGGCCCGAACTGGGGTTTCTACAATTGAAGCCGGATCCTTTGTTGCTCCAAAATGGGTGCCTCAGGTAGTGTTCTTGCTAATCCAATGTCTGCTCAGTAACCTGACACTTTCCCAATAGATGAGCAACTCCAGCGAAATATTACAGCATATCCTCAACGGGCGGGTTTCTTCTCCAGGTCCGATCTCATACTCCTTCCTAGCACCCAATAGCAAGGGCCTTGAATCTGCCGCCGATATCCTCAGTGCGAATAGCGGAAAGTTTGCAACTCAGCTGGAGCCAGCAGCTGGAGCCGAGGCCGCCACCAAGCCAGCTGTTGAAGTCGCAGTCTTTGCTGCTGCTACCGAGAGTTTCACGCAGAAGAACCTCAATTGTGATATAAAGACATCGCTCGAACGATTCAAGGAGGTGATTAGGGATTCCAAGGCTATGGGTCTCAGAGTGCGCGCCTACATTTCTGTAGTCTTAGGATGCCCATTCGAAGGGTTCGACGTTGATCCTCACAAAGTGGCCGAGGTCGCTACAGACCTTCTGGAGGCTGGAGCAGATGAGATCTCACTCGGAGACACTACAGGAATGGGTACGGCACCTCGAACGGGAGCTCTCCTCCAATGCATGTCTGCAGCTGGTATTCGAACTGAGGATATTGCCATGCACTTCCACGATACATACGGCCAAGCTTTAGTGAACACAGCTGTATCCCTAGAGCATGGCATTCGGACATTCGATAGCAGTGTTGGTGGCCTGGGGGGCTGTCCTTATAGCCCTGGCGCGACCGGTAACGTTTCAACGGAAAACATGGTTTACTTCATGGAGACTCTGGGCATGGATACTGGCATTAATCTGGATGCCATGTCTGACATTGGAGATTGGATCACAAAGGAGTTGGGTAAGGAAAATGGCAGCACCGTAGGCAAAGCAGTTCTTGGAGCTCGGACTCGAGCTATGCAAAACGCAAAGGAAAGTTAAAAAGGAAGATTGTTGCTGCGTTGTTCTTGTTGAGCATAGTAAGAAAAGGCAGGCAACTATCTACCTCCCTAGTTATTCAGAAACAACTCATATTCTTGGTTTCGCTCTTTAAGCTGACAGACTTAAAATGCTGTTGATCACCGGTGAACTTACCTTACCTCTGCGAATGTCATGTGATGTCACCGATGTCGTAGAAACGTCCCCCATGTGGAGGTGAAGGTTATCGGCCGTGCGTCGCCTTTGGACTGGCGCAGCCCCTCAGGAGGCAAGAAAACACCAAACCTTGATATAGGGTGTCAAAATAAACTTAGCATAGAGTTACTAAGATTAGGCTGATCTTACCTAAGTACTTTTATCGCCTAGGACTAAGGTCTTGAGTTTTCTTTCCTCCCCTACCTAGCGCAGCTGGAAAGGCCCCACTTGGATGAAGCAAGCTCAACCTCCTCCAACCTCTTGAGACCTTCTCCCAACTACACCTCCAAGCTTCGCGATCGGCTCCTATATTCTCTTCTGCCCCTTCCTTTAACCGTCCGATCACCGATACATCGCCCAACATGGCGGACCCTCGTGAGTCCTCATCGTACTCGGTCATTCCCAGAATTCGATACAACACTGTTGGCGGCGTCAACGGTCCCCTCGTCATCCTCGATAATGTACGCCGTCGTCATCTGCTAAATCGAACCGGCTTGGAATTTGAGGGCTGACAACAAAACAGGTTAAATTCCCGCGATACAACGAGATCGTGACACTCACTCTTCCCGATGGCACTGAGCGCTCTGGTCAAGTCTTGGAAGCTCGAGGTTAGTGAAGCTGCTGGCGTCTCTGAGGCAATGACGCGGAATATGCTGATGTGAACTGCTAGGTGATCGAGCTGTCGTCCAGGTACTTTTACATCCATGCGATGCGATATGATATGGCGATTGACGATTGCATAGGTCTTTGAGGGTACTTCTGGCATCGATGTGAAGAAGGTAGGTGGCATTGCGAGCTCTATCGGTATAACTTCAGGCTAAGGCAACCACAGACCAAGGTTCAGTTTACAGGCCAGAGTTTGAAAATCGGTGTCTCTGAAGACATGCTTGGTCGTATCTTTGATGGTTCCGGTCGAGCTATTGATAAGGGTCCCAAGGTGTTGGCTGAAGATTATCTTGACATCAACGGTTCTCCTATTAACCCTTATTCTCGTGTAAGGCTACCTTTGAGCGCTGCACGGCAGATGTAATCTGACTTCTGATATAGGAATATCCTGAGGAGATGATCTCCACAGGTATCTCTGCCATTGACACCATGAACTCGATTGCCCGAGGACAAAAGATTCCCATTTTCTCCGCCTCCGGTCTTCCTCACAACGAAATCGCTGCTCAGATTTGCCGACAGGCTGGCCTTGTCCAGAAGCAAGGCATCACTAACAAGGGCGTTCATGACGGCCACGAGGAGAATTTCTCGATCGTTTTCGGTGCTATGGGTGTCAACTTGGAAACTGCCCGTTTCTTCACCCGCGACTTTGAGGAGAACGGCAGTCTGGAGCGTGTTACACTCTTCCTGAACCTCGCCAACGATCCTACGTGAGCTGCGAACCATATTCATAACGATGATACGCATACTAATTCCTGTCCAGCATCGAACGTATCATTACTCCTCGTCTTGCTCTTACCACTGCCGAATACTACGCCTATCAACTCGAGAAGCACGTTTTGGTCATCCTTACCGATCTTTCTGCCTACTGTGATGCTCTCCGAGAAGTTTCAGCCGCTCGAGAAGAAGTTCCCGGTCGCCGCGGATACCCTGGTTACATGTACACTGATTTGTCCACCATCTACGAACGAGCCGGTCGTGTTGAGGGCCGCAATGGTTCTATTACTCAGATTCCCATTCTGACCATGCCTAACGACGACATCACCCACCCCATTCCTGATCTGACAGGTTACATTACCGAGGGTCAGGTGTTCATTGACCGAGCTCTGGACAACCGTGGAATCTACCCACCCATCAATGTTCTGCCTTCGCTGTCCCGTCTGATGAAGTCTGCCATCGGTGAGGGTATGACTCGAAAGGATCACGGTGATGTTTCCAACCAACTGTACGCCAAGTACGCCATTGGCCGTGATGCCGCAGCTATGAAGGCTGTCGTTGGTGAGGAGGCTTTGTCTGCTGAGGACAAGTTGTCCCTTGAGTTCTTGGAGAAGTTCGAGCGTCAGTTCATCAGCCAGGGACAGTATGAGTCTCGATCTATTTATGAGTCTCTGGACCTTGCATGGAGCCTCCTGCGTATCTACCCTAAGGAGTTGCTCAACCGTATTCCCGCCAAGGTTCTCAACGAGTTCTACCAGCGAGCTGCGAAGGAGTCCAAGGCCAAGGGTAAGGCTCGAGCAGATACTGAGGCCCGAAGCCAGCAGCAGACGGAAGAGAACCTTATTGACGCATGAGGGAACGGCTTGTCGGCATTTTGACAGATAGTATAATGAGCGCGCGCACAAGGCCGATGGGAGAGTAGAGAGAGGAATGTTTTAAGCTGATTGTTTTCACGCTGTTGTTGAGGGAGGCTGTAGAGCAGAGCAAGAGCAGGTATATGGGTAAGATAGGGGGCGAGCCAATGCAATTCAACCGATCCTCAACCTGATCCAAGAGGAGCATAACTTGCCAAGGTGATGACATATAACAGTAAAACCCTTGACTGGCTGTCATGTGCGTCTCCTTTAGATTTAGGTAGGCAACCAATGAACTCGAACTCATAGAGTGGATCTACAGTGCCGAAAATACGAGTCACACATGCCACATAGTTTTTTCATTTTTGGTTTGTCTTACTCCAGATTGAAGAGGCCATGTAAGAGAACTCTCAATTGATTCTATCATACGACCACAACATGGAGGAAGATAGAAGACAAACAGACCTGGGCATAGCAGCCGATATCGAAGAAGCTCAGCTTGCTCAGACGAGTCAGGCCCCTGTCACTCAAAATGAACCGGAGACAGCAACGCCACTGAAGCAACCGAAGAAGAGATTCATAGGACGAAGGGCGGCAGTTGAGGCCGCAGCAAAGCTTGGAGAATCTGGGGCATCAGGGGAGAGCGGTGCTGTTCAGAGTATGTGAAAACATCGTCTTTCAACATGAAACCTAGTTCAGGAACGGATGAAGATATACTCATGCCGTTTATTATAGCTGCCAAACCTCGGAGGACTCCCCGACTCCTAAATCAAGTTCCCAAGGAAATCCTTGAGAACACCGATCTGAAGGCTGCCATTACGCTATTGCCCACTAACTACAACTTTGAGATCCCCAAGACAATCCACCGCATTCAAACTTCAAACGCCAAGAGAGTTGCGTTACAGATGCCCGAGGGCCTTTTACTCTTTGCTACTACTATATCAGATATCTTGGCGCAGTTCTGCCCTGGTGTCGAGACACTCATCATGGGCGATGTGACCTATGGCGCTTGTTGTATCGATGATTACACAGCAAGGGCCCTTGGTTGTGACCTGCTGGTGCACTATGCCCACAGTTGCCTCATCCCAGTCGACGTGACCACGATCAAAACTCTATACGTCTTTGTAGACATCAGCATTGATGCGACACATCTCCTAGCATCCCTTGAGCGGAACTTTGCCAGCGGCAAAACAATAGCTGTTGTCGGCACTATTCAGTTTAACGCTACTATCCATGGCGTCAAAAGCAGCCTCGAGCGCGGCGGCTTCCGTGTTCTCGTTCCCCAGATTGCACCATTGAGTAAGGGTGAAATTCTGGGCTGCACTTCTCCTCGTCTGAAAGACGACGACAATATCGATCTGATCCTGTACCTGGGTGATGGTCGTTTCCACCTTGAGAGTATCATGATTCACAACCCTTCTATTCCAGCGTACCGATACGACCCTTACTCTCGAAAACTCACGCGGGAGGCGTACGGCCATGACGAAATGCAGTCTCTCCGTCGAACAGCCATTCATAGCGCTCGTACAGCACGCAAATGGGGCCTAATTCTCGGCGCTCTCGGCCGCCAGGGCAACCCACATACGTTGGGCCTCATTGAGAAAGAGCTCAAGGCGCGAGGCATTCCTATCGTGCACTTGCTACTAAGCGAGATCTTTCCGGGCAAATTGGCGCTCATGTCTGACGTCGAGTGCTGGGTACAGGTTGCTTGCCCTAGATTGAGTATTGATTGGGGTTATGCATTCCCACGGCCGTTGTTAACGCCTTATGAGGCACTTGTTGCATTGGGCGAGCGACAAGATTGGGGTGAAGGTGTCTATCCCATGGACTACTACGGAAAGGACGGGCTAGGAAGGACAAGGCCTTTGCAGATTGCCTGAGAATAGATGCAATCATGATACTGAACGATTGAGACCCAACAAGTGCGATAGGACCTCCTTGGCTGGATATGCAGTAGGGTGATGAAGAATAAAGTCCAATATCGATAAAGAAGTGGACGGATCGGTGAGCTTTTCACTCGGATCAAGAGGATATGGGAGATTTAAGTGTTGACTTGGAATAAGGTGCAAAAGTCTCGTCATTCGTAGTACGCTATTGCCTGTTTTCATTGACCTTCTAGATAAAACAAGGTCATCAGGTCGCATTGGCTGTTCCGACAGGCTCTGGCCGGTTTGGAAACATAAGCTTGTACTTGACAATCTCAACGACTTCAAGATTTTTGCCCTGCTCGAGTGTTTCCCCCCCTGAGCCAGGTATCACCTTATTCTCTCTCTTTCGCACCACGGCCATGGCTTTTGGAAGCTTTTTGATCTCCCCGGTGAGACGTTGATGCTGGCCAACATAAAGGTGAACCCGCTTCATCCATGCTGAGCCTTCAGTACCGATCACAAAATCTGGGAAGTCAAGTCTTCCAACTTGGACGCCGCCTAATGCATCACCATTGGCGTCTTGAGGTAGTTTAATGGTTCCTTGGAGTTCCAGGAGAGCTAGACCTGAGGGTGTTTGCAAGAGTTGAGGTAGAGGACTTGAGGATGGTGCCTTGTTGTTTGGAGGATATAGCTTGGCCGAGGACATGACGAGAGAAAATTCGAGATTGGCGATGGGAGAGACTGTTTATATCGTTCCAACGGCTAGATGTGTAGGTACTCCGTATTGGTATCAAATCTCTCCAGCTGAGCTGGAAAGCTTCGACCGACACCTTGAGTCTAAACAAAAGTTCGAGGGACGCGCCTACAGTTCTACAGTGACGTAAAAAGATATACACGGTGTGGAACCGCCTCGTACCTCGCACTACCTTACCTTAGGTATCTGAGGTGGTGGAGAAAACGGACTTTCCTTTGCCCGAGAGTTGTGAATCTTCATTGGCTGCCCGTGCCTAAGAGCCCTAGCGACTCGCACTTGCCTTCCACAATTTTCGAATTCGGAAATTTCGAACCTCATCATCCTCTACTAACTTCACAGCAGGCCAGGTCAAGTAAACTTGCACCCACCACAACTGGCAAAATGAAGGTACGACAAGCAGCAATCAACAATCGAGCGATGCGAGTGTGCGGGAGGCCTTTTTGTTATTTGAAATGGATTGATTGTTCTTGTCAACTGGCCTCCACGCCGCGTGCGCTGCTGCTCGATTGAAGATTTGAAGAAAATATTCGTTGACATTATTCTTTCACAGTTGAACATCAGCTACCCTGCCAATGGCAGCCAGAAGCTCATCGATATTGAGGATGAGCGCAAGCTCCGTGTCTTCATGGAGAAGCGCGTACGTCGAAACTCTCCTGCCCTTTGCCTACGACCGCTCGGCTCGTCGACAACAAACCGACCGACAAAATGCTGACTCCTTTGTGGTAGATGGGCGCTGAGGTTCCTGGTGACTCCATCGGCGATGAGTTCAAGGGCTACATCTTCCGCATCACTGGTGGAAACGACAAGCAGGGTTTCCCAATGAAGCAGGGTGTCATGCACCCTACCCGTGTCCGCCTCCTCCTCTCCGAGGGCCACTCTTGCTACCGACCCCGACGCACCGGCGAGCGCAAGCGAAAGTCTGTCCGTGGCTGCATCGTCGGCATGGATCTCTCTGTCCTCGCCCTCAGCATTGTCAAGCAGGGTGATGCTGACATCCCCGGCCTCACCGACGTCGTCCACCCCAAGCGTCTCGGCCCCAAGCGCGCCACCAAGATCCGCAAGTTCTTCGGCCTCACCAAGGATGACGATGTATGTCTTTCCCTACGCCCATACTCGATCATCGCCTACCCGGAGCTGCAGTGGAGGAGTTGGCAGACCGGGTAGAGTGTGAGAGGACCCCTTGATCTACTTGCCAAGTAAGAGGTCAAGGGGTAGCGAGTTGAACAATGATAACCACAAGAATTGAAAGTAAACTAATGCTTATATGATACATAGGTCCGCAAGTACGTTATCCGACGAGAGGTTCAGCCCAAGGGTGAGGGCAAGTCTCCTTACACCAAGGCTCCCCGCATCCAGAGACTCGTCACCCCTCAACGTCTCCAGCACAAGCGTCACCGCGCTGCCCTTAAGCGCCGCCAGGCCGAGAAGGTCAAGGACGAGGCCGTAAGTCACTCACACGATTAGCACACATATCATCAGCATCTAACACGATTTGCAGAACGAGTACGCCCAAATCCTTGCCAAGCGTGTTGCTGAGGCCAAGGCCAACAAGGCCGATGCCCGTAAGCGACGAGCAAGCTCTATGCGCAAGTAGGGTTCTGGCGGTTAATAAAAAAAAGTGGAATCATACCTTAGTCTTGTGGTTTGCATGCATTGGGAGTGAGGATTCTCTATAGGGCTTGTTTTGAGCCAGCCACGACTGCGTTAGAGACAGTTCGAAAATATGAACATGCATTAATGCACTCGTAACCCGGGCTCATCGGCGCCTTCGCCTGCGTCTACGTCTATATTCCACCTTTCCTCACTATATGTTTTTTTAGTCGTGACTTGTTGATACTTTGACGCCAATTCCATGTAGTCCTCTGCGGGAATAACTGGAAACCAAGAGGTGAATCACTAAAAAACCCAACTCAAGGCAAAGAGCAACCAAATACAGCACACACCATAGGTTGCTTTCCGGGTGATCGCCTATTAAACTTTGATTGATGTACATGAAACTTCACCCACCATCTACTTTCTGTGCCCTTTCCGCATTCCAAGGAACCTTTACGAGACCTGCACTTCTCCCAAGGTGAAGCCCGGACGCGGATGCTACATCCAGTACTCAAGACCATGAAATCTCGAGGTCAGGCTGATAAAACACAATACCAGTACCGTAGTAAACAGTAACAACTCTCTTTTCCATTGGTGTCCCCATCTATGATCCCTTTCCCCTTACGCGCCTGCAATGCAAAGATTGACGATCACGCAAAGCCAAAATATTCGCTGCCTGCTGTGATGGCCTTCATGATCTGAGAACGCAAATGGTCGTAGCTCTCATACTCTGGAAGGTCAAGCTCTGCAATTTGCCATGTTAGTCAATGCACGAATTGAATACTGATGATTTTACTTACGGTTGAAACAGGTATGCGAAGAAGGCAACCTGTCTTTGTTGCCATAGTCACGGTGGATGTTGAATCGGTTAACACCGTTCATGCCTTCAAGCTCCTTGAAGCCATTGAGTGGAACCTTGCTAGTTCCTGTGACAAACTGCAACAATTTGGCGCGCTCTTCCTTATCAAAAGACCGCAAAGCTCGCCAGAACCATTGAATTTGCTGCGAAGATGGTGTGTAGTTGTGATACTCTGTATTGCTCTTCCAGTCATCGATATCAATATCGGGAAGGCCAGATATCAAAAGCTCCAGCTCCTGTTCGTTGAATATGGATATCAGTTCGGCAGGGATAATGTCATGGAACCCTGTTGAAAATTAGTGATTGAATGAAACTATTATTGATTGAAATGCTTACCTTGAAGGAAATGAGCCATCTGCTCCTTGACGGAAGATAGCAACTTGTGTTCGACAACAAGACGGACATAGTCATGCTTATTCTCCTCGGTGACGGCAATCTCTCGACCATTAGGGATGAGGTCAACGACGGTGGTAGCGCCGAACTCATCATTTTCGACAGAGAAAGTTTCAGTGATGATGTCTGTGATGTCGTTGTCCAGCATCCAGCACAAAGACTTATAGTAGTCGGGGTCGAATGATTCCATATCCTTGACCGAGACAGATTTGCCGAGGATTCGCTTGTATACAGCGCGGCTAAAGTAACAGTCAAGAACACGACCCTCGTATAATGCTTTGCCGATGATGCGACCGATAAATTTGAAGAACATAAGATGCTCATCATTAATGCCGCTGAGCTTGTTTGGGTGGAAGGTCGTCCGGTCAGAGGACACAGGTGTGAAGAGCACATAGTTTGGATCAAACATCTGCCGAGAGAGTACTTGGAACCACTCGCGAGTAACCCCACCAGCGTCAACGCCTTCCTCGCCATGGAAACGAATGTTGAGCTTTCCAAATTTCATCTCATCCCCAGACTTGAAGTACAAGGACTTGAATGAGTCATGGAAAACCTGTTCACGACGGACAGAAAGTTGCAAAGTAGGATAGGAGGGTCGGCTCGGGTTGTTACTTGATCGGGAATGGACGCTGCGGTTAAAGTAGTTGCGCTTGTTATCGAATTCCAGCACCTTGGGGTTCTTCACGAGGAGTGCGAAGGTGCCCGACATGAGCTTGGGATTGCTCCTGACAAGCTCGTTAAGGATACGTCGGTGATCCTCGGTGAAGCTGAAGAAGAGGCTGGCCGTACGAGACTCGGGTGCCGGGCTTGAGAGGACCATTTCTTTCTGCTGTGAGGGATCATCGTTGGTGGTTGTATTCTTGCAGACCACCATGAGAGATTCAATTAGTGGTAGCAGGATTGTAGCCACATTGAGCATGTTTTCGCGCTGGCGAATGGCACTCAGGCAAGCACTCAACTTCTCCCACATGGCCGAAAAGGTCGAGTTGTGGTAGAGAGATGTGACTAGATCGTGTCTCTCATCCTTGTCCTTGCTGGACTCGGCCTCGTCGCCCTTTTTCTTGTTGTCGAACAGATGATCTAATGCTGTCAAAACACGAAGGAGCTTGTTTTGCTCGGATGCTCCTGGCGAGAATTTGGCAAGAGCAACGCCTTGGATCTCAGTGCCTGAAGATGCCTTCTGAATATGTGGCAAAAGATCGTCCAGATCAGCGACGATGTTCTCACTAAGAAGCCGAGCCTGGTGAACAAGCTCCTGACCAAATGTTGCCTTAGCCCCTGGAATGGCTGAAAGGTTCTTGATAGTCGAGATGGTGTTTTGGAAAGTCTTGGAGCTGCACTCTCGAGCCACAAAGATCCTTACGGCTAATGTCAGGTTCTGGGCGGGGACAATAGGCGGCTGAAGCTGTCGGAGTTTCTTCTGGACTGCTTCTTTCTTCTCTTGTTTCTTGGTAACAACATCAGTGGCAGTGTCCTCTTTGGCATCGGTGCTGGACTGCGTAAGGCTGCTCGTCTCGGTTGGTTCCGCTTTCGAAGCTTGGTCCACAGGATCTTCAGTTTTGGACATCTCTCCCACCGGCGGTAAATCAATGGCTTTCAGTTCGTCCTCGGCTTCCTTACGACGACGTTCAAGATTTTGGAGAGGCAATGTGACTCGATTTAACAAATCAGCCAGATGGGTCATAACGACAGAGCTTTCCATAACAAGGTCGCGGTCAAGGAGTGACAGCAAGGAGTTAATGGCATACTTGTGGGACTTGGAGTCCTTCCCTTTGCCTTTACGGCTCAGGGAGCGCTTGAGAGTTGACCCAACGGCTTCGTGCTCTGTCAGGAAAAGCCACGGAATATGAGGGTTCTTTGATGATAACTCCACCAGCAGATCCAGGCACTGCTGAACAATCAAGAGAGGCGAAGTTTCGGAATTGGTTTGCGTAGTGTTTGTGGCGGGTAGACCGGTCAGGCTTCTTTTGAGTGCCTGCGGGGTTTTCTGCTCCGAGTCCTTCTCCTTATCCTTCGGTCTTCGTGCCTTTAGGGACAACTGGCCGAAACTGCGCTCGACAGCCCCCATGTCTGCGCTACCGTCCTGTAAGATCTGAAGCAGAGTGCTAATCACCTCGAGTCGAGTTTGCTTATTCTCGCAGACATCGGCAAATACGTTGAATAGGTGGTTCCTGATGGAACCCTGTTGCGTAATGAACATCAGACGAAGGAGCGTAGCGACACCAGCCTTATCGAGCATCTGAACAACTGTTCGGCGCTGTACCTTTGCTCCTTCTTGGGGGTTAGGTGGCCCAGGCTGGCGACTTGTGCTGGTTTGAGGGTTGCGGCCTGTGATGACGGAATGGCCGTTGTTGTGGTGAGACAAAGCTCGAGCCTGAGCCGCCATTTCTGGAGTCAGTCGATCCATGAGCTCTTCGCCTTGGTCCCTAAGAACCTGTTGTCGTAGATCAGGCGAGAAACTGAGGAGAATCTCGGCGGTCTCCATTTCTGGTTCGACAGCCTGGCCAGTGCTGGCGGATGCTTGACGGTTCGTTTCTTCACGAGCCCGGCGGCGCTGCTCATGTCGCTCTTGTTGAGCTATCTCGTGTCGTAATTCTTCAGGAAGAGCATCTAGAAATTCTTGGAAAGCTTCGGTCGGGTTCCCATTTGTCTCTTCACGGGCCTCGGACCTTCTGGTGCTGATTGCCTGTGCAATGACCTCCTCGCGAAACTCCTCAGGAAGAGCCGCGATATACTCAGGATCAATACCGAGTTCGGTGACGTCGACCTCTTCGCCTCTGATTGTGGTCATAACACGAGGGCCGTCGTCGGCGTTTTGGTCTGTGGCCTCCGAACGTTCTGCTTGTATTTGGTTCGTCGGCTCGACGCCTTCCATCGCACTTCCATCACCTTGGCCTTCAGTGGACACGTCCTGATTAGCGGCTGCTTCAGAAGCGGCACGTTCAGCAGCCTCTCGAGCCTCTGCCTCTCGCATTTCTCTCTCCGCCTTCTCTTTAGCCTCTTTAGCTTCACGTGCCAGGCGCTCCTCTTCTTCCTGCTTCTTCCGTTCTTCTTCTTCGCGCTTCTGTTGTTCAGCTTCTTCGGCTTTTAGCTTCTTCTCCAACTCCATTGCTGCGGGAGTAAGCTTAGCCACGATGACGTTCTGGAGCTTAGCCGTTTCCGTTGCATTGCTGGCCCCAAAAACCATCCTGGCTTCCTCCTGATATCGATCCATCGTGCCTTCAATAGCGAACGACACAGCTTGTAATGGATCCTGAGCCGATCCTTCGCGTCTCTGTTCAGAACGAGAGGTTCGTATGGCGCCAAGCTCTCTAGACTCGCGGTGCCCATGCGGACCAGTAATCTGCAGGTGGAAGGCAGGCTGTCCGTTGCGCCCCATGATCGGGAGGAATTCCATTAGTTCACCGAGGAATCCCATGGTTCCCTCGATATGTCGTCCACCTGAGCCAAAGATCGCTTCAGGAGGAACTCGCAAACCGATAGTGTGATTGATGGTGGGACGTTGAGATGCTTCTCTGTTTTGGTCACCCCGTCTGAGGAGTGGGTTGGTGCCATCATCGGTGTTAGATTGACCTGCCCCAGGGCGATGGCTGCGCGAAAAGAAGCTGCGGAAATCGCCACCGGCGTCCCGATGAGAGCCAACAATGAAGCCGGGAGGAAAGGGGCTACGCGAGTCGGTGGTACGAGAAGGAATAAATTGTCGGCGACCTGGGTTGTCGACCATGAACATCTGGCGGTAACGATCTTCGTCTTCGGTACCAATCCCGTCCCATCCCAGAGCCGGCATGGGCTGAGGCTGGTCATCCAACGGATAGTCGTCATCATAGAGGTATTCGTCATCTTCCATTTCGTCCTCATCTTCCTCGTCTTCATCTTCGTCATGACCATCATCAAGATAGTGATCTTCCATTCCATCCATCATGTCTGGATCGTACACGTCGCCATCACCAATGATTGCTCGAGCCATGCCGTTGAGGATATCGCCTGGTTCCATAGGCATATGTTCGCCATGAACATCTGCATCAAAGTCTAGGTCATCCTCTTCCTGGTCCTCGTCATCCTCGTCATCATGGCTCGCGCTCTCCCATTCCGAGTTCCCATCGTCATCTAGAGGGTTGCCCTCTTCATCAACAATCTCGACCTGATCTTCAACGTCTTCCATGTCTGCGGATTCCACGTCGTCATCATCATCATCATCATCACTTTCATCCTCTTCGTCCTCATCCATGATGACCTCGACGACGCCCGGCTCGCCATGGAGACCTTCAATTTCGCCCATTTCGCCAAGTTCTTCGTCATCGTCACTGATATTATCTTCTTCGTCCGAAATGTCGTCGTCTCCATAATCCATCTCATCGTCATATTCGTCCCCGTACATATCCTCGTCGTCGTCGTCCTCTTCATCTTCATCGGAATCGTCGTCCTCACCACGAGGCTCCAACATACCAAGGGTAGAATTGCGATATAGATCAGGGGTTTCTTCTCGATCATCGCCGAGGTCTGAGAGCGAAGAGGTTGAACCAAGGTCCTCATCTGCAGTGTCTGACAATGAATCAGAGGGCAAGATATTGGAATGGCTTAGTTCCTTGGCTGTCTCTGTGAGGACACGCAAGACACGTAAGATATACTTAATGGCTCGTTTAACGCCCGGATAGTTGAGGTTGATTTCGGCAATAGAGGACGTGAGTTTATCAAGATAACCCTTCTCATACATCAATCTTCGTAGCTGAGCGTGCGACCGAGCTTGAACGTTGTCGGAGCCTCGAGAAGCCGCACCTGGATCCTTGTCCCTTTCGCCAACCATGTAATTCATTAGTTCGGCCAAGCATTGCATGCGTGAATAGCGAGTTTCCAAAGGTTCATCAGACAAAGGTGCTCTCTCATAGGCCTTCAACATCGTGTCAAGAACAAATTTGCGGGCAAAAAGAAGATCGGGCTCGTCGTCGTACGCAAATTTGTCCTTTCCGCGATCAATGGCCTTCTCACTAGTCTTGGCAACCAAGGCAACCAGAACCTTCTGGGTTTGTGTTGAAGTAGCGACCTTCTTCTTCGCGGCGATACTATCGGCAGTTCCACTCAGATTGCCCTGACACAACAAATCGTAAATCAAATAATTAAGGACCGAGGACCGAGGCTTGATTGGTGTACTTGTAGTTAATGGAGCATTGCGCTTGAAGTTGATGAATTCCATCTTTGTCCTGTTGTAGCTTTGAAGGAGCTCAGCAAGACAGTTAAGCAAGAAGCACCGGTAGACAAAGATCGGATGCTCGTCAGTTTTGAAAACAGGCTTTGGTGGCTTCTTGTCCTTCACGTCGGCGGCATTGTTGTCTTTGGAAGCGGATGTTGCATCTTCCGAGCCAGGAGCATGATCGATCTTGGGGTCCTTCTCAGTAGCCCGTACTTCTTTATCTTCGACTTCACGATAATTGAGCAACTCGCAAAGAAGGAAATGTATAACACCATCAGGATTCTCAACGACGGGTCGTTTGCTTTCATGGGATTTAGGTGCATCAATCATCTCCTTGTCTGCAGGTTCCGTGGACTGCTTTATGTCGTCGACAATATTATCGTTATCGTCACCGCTGGTATCAGAAGTCGACTGGGTAGCTTCTTGTTTCAACTCAAGACTTTGCGACCGAGGGTTGTCGCTGGAAAGGGGCGTCCACCTGGGGAAGCGTAGCATCTCGTTGGAAATCTCAACGAAAAGGTCCGGTGCGCGAAGCGCAACTGGTGTCATTACACGCAAGTAGTTATTAACATCAGTGTGCCCCCGCTGTGTTCGTGTTAGGTTCATGAGGCCGATCTTGATCTCTGCGCGCATGATCTGTTTGATGGTCTCTTCATCCTCCACGATATGACGAAGAACAGTCATGATATGAGCAGTGAGCTTGGTTTGTTTGAATCTCTCGGAGCCGGAGCCTGACAGTTGCTTTGCCATAAGAAACAACCGTTGCAAGTTCTTCTTATCTCCGACCAACTTCGCTAGTCGTCGACTGCGTGTCAGTATAACCAGAACTCTGAGTGCTGCAATGGCGAGTGTTTCTTCCTTTCCTATTCGCGGGAGCATCTCAAGCAAAGATTCTAGGATTTGGGTACGCTCATGGTCACCGACAATCGGAGTTCGCATTTGAATGACTGGGTCAGAAACAGCCTCGTCCAGGGACTTCGGTGCTTTCCACTGCGCAGCAACTGGACGCTCATCATGACGAAGGAGAGTCTCGACGACCAGTAGCACATATGGTATCCACGGTGGCATCCCTTCAGTAGAGTTCATAGGGGAAACCTTCAGGAATCCAATATACTCGTTGATATGTTCCCTTAGGTTCTCAATACTGTTATCAAAGAAGCGCTCATCCTGGAGAAGTAAAGCGAGTAGATGGGCATAAGCAGCAATGCATTTCCCGGTACGCTGCTTTTCTTCCTCCTCGTCTTGGGCAAGCGACGACAACGCCAAAGTCAAGGTCTGGCCGATTTCATCTTCGGTATCACCAGGCTGTTGTTTCAAAACCACGGTCCGGATGAGCTCAGACACCTCGATCGCGGTTTCAGGATGTGCCCGAACAACATCGAGGCATCTATCTATCATGTTTCCTCGCAATTTCGCCCGAAACTTGTCGACCTCTTCTTTCGTCGCAAGGAGGGGTTCGTTTCTTTTTGACTCTTCTGCGGCAGATCCGGGCGTTTCTGCCGACAAACTCGGGCCTTCATGGATCTCATCCACATCTTGAGGGGTATTGATGATGCCCCCTAATGTTTCCCCAATAAATCTCTCCGCAAGATCGGGAGTATCAATTTCCGGAGGTCCATCCAAGGACATACGGTCTGCTTCCCCGCCTGTGTTAGCACCCTCAGTCTCACTGACACTTGAGGGCTCTTGTGGAGTCTGTTTCAACACTGATGTGTCAGAGTCTGCAGAAGGGATTGGGTTACGCGCGCCGGCAAGTCCAGCTTTGTGGGCTGAGCAGTAATGTTCTGCGAGGTTAGGGTTTCCATTCGCCCTGTACACTGCCTCGTGGACCAGATCAGTATCATAGCCCTTGGCAACCAGCTCTTCAATCGTGCCACGATGGGAACGCCAGTCGAAGCGGACATCCGTGTATCTGAAAAGGTGGAAAGGCGGCTTATCTCTCGAGGACGATGAAGGCTCGCCATCCGCAACAGAAATGACTCTGAGAATGTCGATTAACCGCGTCACAGTTTGGTGGGGTACTCTTTCGACAAAGGAAGAGTCCCAAAGTCCGATGATCTCAGGGAGTATGACTGCCCTAAACTCTACTACAAGTTGTTGACTGATATATGTTGAGTTTGACGACCTGTCCCCACTTCGAGGCTGTAGAGTGAATGCGTTTTGGGCTTCAGAAAGTTGCTTCGAATTGACCAACATCAAATCCAAGTCGAGGACCTTCTTCAGTCCGAATGCAGCAACCTTGGATCTGGAAGTCTCATCTGTTGCGGCATCTGGGCCTTCACGAACTGCCCGGGCAAATATCTTCAACATTGAATTCAATACATCCATTCCTCCCTCTTCTTTGAAAGCCAGTAGAACAGGCATGATGATGTGAACACTTGCCCGATCGCTTGGTCTAGGAGAAGGCTGATCAATGAGCATCTCATTGATAGTATGCAACATGATGATCCAGAAGTGGAAGTCCTTGGATGTGGGTGTTGGGTTGGCAACAGATGGCCTCAACTGGCCAAGTACTGCATTTGCAAGTGCTCGTGCAATTTCCAAGTGCCGAGGTCGGTGATAAAGATCACGAGGATCTCGTTCCCGTCGTGGCAAAAGACACTTGCCGAGCGTTTGGAACAGAGGAAATGTTGTTGGTATCATAGGATGCAGTAGATGTCGTAACGTTTCATAGTTCTGGAAACGGGGGCTGGCTTGCTCCTCATCTGTAGGACGGGTCGGCTTAGAGTCATCTGAAGCATCTTTCGCTTGAAATTGCGCCGTGCTGCTTAGCATATCTGGCAATGAAGTGCTGTCATCCAAATCGGTTTCTGGGGGGTGTGTGCTAGTTAATCCCTCGGCGGATGTTTGACGTCTAAAAGACCAATGCTGCGGGACAGCGTTGAGTTCTCCTGCCTCTTCAATTAGAACTCCACGCAACAAGGGACCGATGGAGTTGACGAGTTTGAGGTAGTAATCGTAAACATTGACTGGGTAGAATTGTAAAGTATTCGATCTCGATGTAGCGAAGCAATCGGAAATAATTTTAATAAACGTCTGCGCATTTGACAATGCCTTGATCATCTTGGTACCGTTCTTGACAGCTTCATCGTCTGTCGTTTTGAGGTCAGAGGCAAGAAAAGGTGCAAAGTATGGTGGCAAAGCTTCCGTCTTATCAGACAGAGGCTGCAAAGTGTCAATAGCCACTTGAGCTCGTCTGAGTAAAGATGGGAGGCCACGTATGGGAAAGGACTCAACGACCTGAGAGACGACCTGATTGAGAATCCTCGAAGCAACGGTGTCACCAAAATTGGTGGGCAGACTCGGGGATTCGCAAATGTCGAGCAAAAGCTCCAATCCGCCTGCCTCCACAAAGCTGGTCCTCAAGCCCTGGTTTGAGATGTAAGAGCTTAAGAAGTAACCTAAAGCATATATGTAGGGAGTGATCGAGCGTGTGGGTGAATCCCGGCTATCATCTTTCTGGCCTTCGGAATCCGTGTCGTTGGAGGGCACATCGGACATATTGACATCCGTGTCTCCAGAAGTCTCAAGTCCCTGGCTGTGCTCAGCAGATGCAGTCGGTCGAATGAAGTTGCCATTCTCGTCCACGGATACAGTCTTGCCCTCATCGTCAATCAACAACATCCGAGCACCCCACCCGGCGGTCCTGGCCTTCTCGATGCCGAGATAACGCACGCGAGCAACCATATCGATAACAGCATTAGAAATGGCCAAACGTAAGGCCGGGTGATGACGAGCAAGTTCGTCAAAGCTTCCTCCAACATTGGTGGCGAGATCGCCGTCGAGTTCCATACATCTTACGTGGGTAGCACTTTCGAAAATCTCGAGGAAGCTGTCCAAAGCACGGGATGCTGCTACCAGCTTCATGCCAGCGTTGTTAAGCGATATCGAGTTAAGGACATGTGGTACAACAGTAATGACATCACTGGAAGGTAAGATTCCTGCTGCCAACGTTTCGCGAGATAATTCCCGGATAGAGTCTTCGGGAGGGGGATGCGGTCGCGAGTCATTTGCAACTATCGCAGTGACAGTTTCATTTGCAGAGTTGGATTCGTTGTCGTCATCGTCGTCGTCTTTGTCGCTAGGCTTTTGTTCGACCAATACGTCACCGGGAAGCGGCCTTGCGGTAACAGCTTCCAAGTATGTCTTGATCATACCAGACTCAGAAATAGCTGCGAAGCTTGTAGGGTCATTGTTGATGAAATCGCTTAAGATGGTGACAGAATTCGTCCAGACGACTGAACCGAAACTCTTCTTGTCTCCAATGATGTCCCGCAAGCTCTCCAGGAGATCAGTTTTGTCAGCGAGATTGCGGAGCAGCCGGTCAGTGTTGCCACCGTAGCTGTATGAGTTAGACATAATGTGATGGACAAACTTAAGCAGCCACTTGAGAGTCTGCTGCTGATAGTATGGAATCTCATAATCCACCTGTCCTGACTGCTGATCCTTCGTAACGCCTTGGCCTGCTTTGTGCAAAGTCTGCGCCTCCCTGACGGTATCAACCACCAATTGAGACACTGCATCAAGTCCTTTGGCGTTGAAGAAGGCAGTGAAGGCGTTTTGGTAGCTCCATATCAACCCGTCCAAGAATGCAAGGACCATGGAATGATTTCGTTGCGCGACACTTGACCTGATGTTTAGAATCTCAACCAAGATGTCCATCAATCCCGCGGATACCATCTCGCTTCCAACGCGAGTGGTCATGGATAGATGGAGAGTGAGTGAAAAGAGGTTATTACGCCACTCATCCATTTCCGTAACTTGATTTCCTTTGTCACTTTCGTCATCTTCCTTCATTCCTGCAACTGCCTTCCTGATAACGTAGAGTAGTATGCCATGGTTAACATTGGCATTCAAAGCAGAGAGAACATCTTGACACTTGGCTTGGAAATTAGAGACGGCTTCCAGGAGGGCGAGGGCCACAGCTTGAAGCCACAGGGGTACGTCAACGTTCCCGTGTGCTGTAGGATGAATGAGCTCAGCAAGCTGGTACACTAACTGGAATCTTCTGGTCTCGTCTGCATCTTGGCGGAGAACTTTCTCGAGAAAGTTAGCTTCGTTATGAATGTATGCAAGATTGTTGATTGCTAAGAGGCGGACAGCAAGCAACTTCTGCCGCGATTCACCAGAATCCATAAGAGCTTTGGAGGCTCTGATCCTGTGGAACACCTCGTATTTCGAAGCGGGTGGAAGATCCGCGGGAGTGCGTGACACCAACTCATAGACGGAAGTCGATGCAATGACGGATTGTGGTATTTCGTAGAACTTTGGTCCAGCAGATGTTGTCTCGTCTGAAACACCGGGCGTTCGGGGGGCAGTTGGAGTGGAATCATCGAAATTACCCCGACTTTTCGGAGTATGATGCTGGGATGTCATGGTAGAACTACGACGCAGGGGTGTTGGTGTGGATGGAAGCGACGCATCGTTGCCAACAGAATCTTGCAGGGTATTCTGGGGATAATATGCTACCTTTACATCTCCCCAGCCATGCCACCGTTTGTCGTCTGAGGCCGCAAGGGCAACTAAATCATTCGCATGTATGGAGTTGGCTGACTTGGGGCTTCCTCCCTGTGCACGTTCTTTTCCTTTGGTCGAGCCAGGTGTCTGAGTTGTTACAGGATCAGATAAACTGACGATCGGCGTCTTCGCAACAGGTAGAGCAAGCTGTTGAACTCTATCGAGATCGATGTTGTAGTGGTTTGCCAGCAAAGCTGCGCTGATCTGCCTAGAGGGGTTTGTGATGCGCTTGACCGAGGCTTGGTACCTTTGTGCCAGTTCTGAACCGACTTCGAGTGTTGCAATCAGTACGCTAAGAGATGTGGTGTTGAGAAGGTCGTTAAGATGGGCGCTGCTGGCATAGATACTTCGGTTACCGCAGTGCTCCAGTAGCATTCGCGTATAGCGCAAGACCACCTCCACTAGTTGTTGGTCTCCGTTTGATGAAAATCCCAAACCCTTTAGCTCCTCCGTTGACCACCGCCGCTCGCTACCAAAGGTCGATTCTTGAACTTGGTTGAGCAGTACATCGCAACCAAAGTCGCGAGTCTGTGGGCCCTCATTCAGCTTATATGTAGCACAGAAGTGCTCTAAGATGCTATCAAAGCGGTTCAGGAGAGGAATCCAGTGGTAAAGATCTCCGCGTCCGAAGGGCCATCGAGATGGAAAGCTTCCCAGCTTTTGTGGTAAGAGAGGTAGTGGCGTTGTTGATGTGGTTTCGACGTAGCTCTTAAGCCAAAGAGACTACAAATCATGTTAGCTATGCGTCTTCCGGCTGTTCCATTTGGTCACTAACCAAAGTATCCTTGTGCTTTGGTTGCATGGGCTTAGTGATCTTCCCCATGGTGAAGGTGAGGCGGCTGAGCCTCGGAAAACTGAAGAATCGCCCCCTCCACTACAGCCGAGTTATCAACCCGCTCAAAAAAAAAATTGAATATGTTCGCGAGTTCTTTTCGATCGGGCGTTTTCAGTATGAAAGATCCTGTATGCGCAGTTTGTGCGGTGGGAAGTTTTCGATTTTCGTGGGGCTTTCAAGTCGAAAAGACTCCAAGCTGGGATCCAGACAAACCTTCTTCCTTCGGAAGAAATGGCGTATTCTCAATCAGAAGCCTTTTAGCAGCTGTTAATACGTGATAGTCGGCTGGTAAGCAAAAGCACGTTCGCCTGGCAAGCACCTGTGAAAGGTAGATGGTCGACAAAGCTTGGAAAGCAGTCCAAGGCCGAGTGCAGGTCGTCCTAGAATAGCTTTAATCTGTAGCTAAATCGTACCGCCTTACTTAGAAAGACGATATATCTCTCCTTCTTTTTCCAGCTGATGCGGCAATGCGAAGTATCTCGTATGGGTATGAAAGTTGTGGTTTATGATGGTGCGGAGAGAAGGTGTAGGATGGGGGAAAGGTATAGTTATTGCAAATCGTCAGGTTGAGAGGTGCAAGCGGGCCTTTGCGTAATAGGTGCCGAAAGCTAAGTACTTACCTATGTACAGTGGGGTGGAGGTACCCCCGAGGCCAACCTTCCACTGCAGGGTACAGAATTTCCCGGATTCAATGATCGGATTATCTCTTCGGCTTTGTGTTCCCCTCATATCCAAGCTGAATCTTGATAAATGATACCAGATCACGAAACATCCAATAATAAGGATCCACGGTTGGCAGAAACTTGTTTTGCAAACAGCTCAGCTTTTGTATGCTTCTTATTTTCTATGATTGTCCTATTAGCTTGACCTTCTTGCCTATTTTGTAAACATGTTTCTCTATTATATTAATACCTAAGTTCATGAATAGTAGCGGGTATCATGCATATAGCATCTCCTTTAATGTTTGAGCCTACCCACTGTACTTAAAGAGAAGTTAGTACCTTGATTAAAATATTTATTTCCGTCAGTCGATGGTAAATCAAACGATGCCTGCTTTCGCAAGGCCACAGCAACAAGTTACTACAGTGGTTAGCTAGCCCTGCCTCCAAACTTCGAGCTCGGGGCTTTCTAGTATCTATCGTAATTACACTAATGAGCTATTTCTGAGTATTCATTAAATTGCCCATCATGCATTTTGGCAGACTATACTTCTTTTTATTTACTCGGATCGTATTGATCCCATGACGAGCCTTGTGAATGAACAGACATCGAATATAGGGTAGCTGTATCTAGTTGCTTCACATGTCGAGGGCAAGAACAGGCATTAGGTCTGTGTTCATTGTTGATTTGGATGTCTTCTCCTACAAACAGCAAGCGATACTTGAATTAGGTATGCGTCAGGCAACTTCCATAAGAGAACATATATGGTATGCCTCCTCAGAGCGAGTTCCACGGCTTGTTGTTATACGGTGTTTTCGTTCTTCCGTCACTTGATCACTTTAACTTACACTACTATGTACGTGTGTTTGCCACTCTGTGCATGCTTTTTTTTTTCTTTTTGGCGCGCTCAACATATGTGACCACATATATAATTTTTTAACCACCACACTAGGCAGCCAAGCCTGCTACTGATACTCGCTCAGTACTTGATACTAATACATCAGGATGCATATTCAAGCACGCCACCATCGACTGAGGAAGATCTGAAGATGATACTTGGCTACTCAACGATAGAAAAACCCGACGACACAATTGCCCAGTCTCAGCGGAAGTAGCCCTGCCAAACCATTAAGGTAATTCCGATTTCCCATACTGGCATCTATTACCCAAGGTACGTAGTACATAGGCATGGATCTGTAATGACAACCCTCCAAAGCTGGAATTAAATCTAGTATACCGCTAAGACCTAGCTCGGGAATTTGGCCTTGAAACAGGCACTTTCAGGTAATCATTGGATACTACGAGACCCACGTATCTCTAAGCCAGAAAAGGACTCGTGAAACAAAATATTGGCCTGATATTACTCAGTCTCATGACCATAGCGAGGGTAGGAAAGAAAACTCGGAACCTCGACCCTAAATGACAAAAAGACTCAAGTAACTCGCCAGACTCCTCGGGATGAGTTTAGGATTATTTTGTCAAGTTTATTTTGACAACCTATATCAAGTTTCATGTTCTCTTGTCCCCCAAGGCATATCTAGGAAGACATCCATTGCTACGGAGTACAGCAAGGGTCCCTCCCACAAGCTTTTGGCTTAGTCTAACACTTGTCCCGTCTATATCCCGAGTGCCTATTTCGACTGTACATAAACCTAATGCGCTTATGACATCAACATGAAATCGAGAATGGAACGTAACCACAGTACATGCATCCAGACTAGACTCTGACGCCATTGGAGTGTAAAGTAAAAATAAAATAAAAAGGTTATCTGCAGATTATTGACAGAGGGGTAGTGATATCCAATCCAAGAGCGATAGTGTTAAATGTGGCGTCAGCTGGTTACAATACCTACCAAGGTATAGTAGGTAGCCTGTTAGTAGCTTAGTAGGTATGCTGTGACATGGAAGATATTGGTTGGTGGGAAACGCTGGTAAGGTGTGAGAATGAGAACGCTGTTATTAAAGAAAAGCCGGAGCTTGAGTGACAGGTAGACCCCGAAGACTAAAATTGTAAGTAGGTACTGAATCTAGAGGCATGATTTTGTTTAACCCCCATCTGACAGCCAAGTGAGATGTTATTTGACCATCCCGGCGGCAATAAAATTCCAAGTCGTCTCACAAAACCCTTATCACGATATTGCCACAGGACCTATGTAGTTCGGGAAAAACTCGCACCGTCAATCATGTTATGCAATTAAAACTGAGTTGACCGTGTGCAGCAACCTCAAATCAAAGACCAAGGGCCCTCTCCATGATTTCAAGTAGGGATTCCTGCACAGATACGACAGGGCAGTATTCTACACAACTTCAAAGCCCAGTGTGATTACCTTAGATAACTACTCAAGGTAAAGCCTCAAAGCCGAAACGATGCGATTTTGAATTCCAAACGAAGCCAGCTATAGAATACTCTAATCAAAATGGCCACATAATGAAGGGATCATCTGCATTCCAGACTTTTTGTCTGACGTTTTCTTGTAGCTGAATCAACAATCAGGGCGTCTCCTAAAGTAGCTCCATTCTCAAGCTCTGCTGGTCCCCCTTGGCGGGCAGGGCGGGCTAGGCGGGGAGCTCAACTTCAGGGCACCCTTTCACTGAGTCCATGTCCCAGGGTCCACCGAGCTGGTTCATCAACCTCTCGGTGGCAGGCAGGCAGCCTCGCCCGAACTCCTGCTACAGGGCCGCCCTAATTTATTTTTGGCGAACTCCGTCAGCGCCTCGCTGTCACAACCCTTGCGTGCTTCCAATTCTAGTTCCAGTTCCACTGTCAACGTTAGTAGTAAGGGGCAGACAGGAACACCAACGCCAAGCACCCCCCCTTGGATCGGATCTCAATCAACAGCTGGCTTCTGGCATTCTTCCATTCATTCTGCCGCCGGACGCAGTATCTACCTAGTCTCTCGTTCCCAACTTCCCTGATACAGTCTGCATTGATTGCTTCTTTATCCGTGTTTGATCCATGGTCGAGGCCACCTAACCGTTCCTTTATCCTCGACGAGAACAACACACCGTTACCTTGAAAGCATTTAACACTCTCAACCATGTCGCAACCGCAAGATGTCGCCTCGCCGGTAGCCCAACATCACACCGATACCGAGCCTGAAAAGCATGAGCAGCAGCAGGATACACACGAAATGTCCGAGAAGCAAGATGGGCCAGAGGCACACGACGAAAAAGAAACAACAACCACAACGAAGGACAAACAAGAAGATTTAGGCATGCACCAAAAAGACGAAGACAGCATAGCAGAGAAACATGAGGATAAGGCTGAAGACAAGCACAAAGAAAAATCAGAAGAGTCAAATGACAAGCCTGAGGGAAATCAACAACAGCAGCTGTCGCAAAGCGATACCAAGGTCGAAAGACTCGCGTCTGGCACGGAGTCTGACGACACTATGTCTGTAGGTTTATCCCACATTCCTCCTTCAACCTACTGCGGTACCAGTCACACGACAGATGCCATCCCTTATTGCGCTTCAATGCTGATTAATTTCTTTAGGCATCTGATGCTGATGATAAATTCGAAGATGCTGTAACGCAGTCCCCGGCAAGGTCCCTTACCAAACGAAATATTTCACAGGCTCAACGCCTTGGCAGCGAAGTGGAGGAGCGAACCGATCGGCGGTCTGAAGAGTTGCATCCCCAAGAGGATACTCTAGACACGAACGTCACTCATCATAAAGCCACTGGATCCGAGGCAGGCAGCGTCAAAGGAAAGCAATCACGACGCAAACCGTCAATAGCTTCCACACGAATTTCCAATACCTCAAATCTGGACAACGTCAGTCTTGACGACGATACGCCCCCATCTCCAGGTATGCACATCCTCTTTGCCTTATAACACTGCGCATAATACTGATCTTTGCAGTGCCAAAAGATCTTCCACCGAAACCAAACAGCAAGACGATATCTCTGAACAGCATCTCTCTTCCGTCTATGCCGTGGTCGCCCGCCGCTGATGCTTCCAAAAGCCCTGTGCCATCAACAGCTACACTTGCGCCCACCCCACCAGTGCCCCAGCCTCCGCCACCACCTAGTCGAAAGCTGACAAGCCCTTTCTCTTGGCTTTCTCGAAGCTCCAGCAAAGAGAGAGAACCTCCGATTCCACCCCCCCCTGCTGGCCGAAGGAACACAGCTGGTTCGATTGCAACACTATCAAGCAATCCTGAAATGATGTTGGGTCGACTCGAGGAGGAAAAGGATGGAAACTCACTACTCGGTGACCCTGCCCAACGGGTCACCCTGAAAGACAGATTCAAGCAATTGCGACAACAAGAAGAGGCTGCTCGCGCAATCGCCGAAGGTGACAGTAGTAAATATGACGGAGCTCTTGGCCTCACTTTGCCAGGTGATGAAGGCCAACCACAAGAGAAGCCTCCGTCGTCGCCTGTTCCTCAGCCTATTCCTGGGCTAGCCCCGGGCACAGTAGCGGGAGTCAACGCAGGACCTTCGGCCATCTCAGAAGAAAAAGTTGATTGGGACTTGTGGCAATCTGTTGTATATGAGGGGCCAGCTGCTGTTGCTCGAACCAGCGCCGAGGAACTGAACAAAGCTATTGCAACCGGCATCCCTAGTGCAATCCGTGGCGTTGTCTGGCAAGTGTTGGCTGACAGCAAGAACGATGACTTGGAGTTAGTATACAAAGATCTGGTGGCCCGCGGTACAGACAAGAGCAAAGACCGTCACAGCAATAGTACGACTGCTAGTTCGCTGAGCAACGGAAACCTCAGCGTTCATAGCGGGGATGCCGTCACATCGTCAGCCTCTTCCATCAATTCGGACCACTCAGGAACAAATGGTACGCCATCTCCTAACGAGAAGAGCGCGGAGGCTGTTTTGAAAGCTCAAGCTGCCGCAGCGGCTGAGCGGAAGCGGAAGGACAAGGAGGACGCGGCGACACTACAGAAATTGGAAAAGACAATACGCCGGGATCTTGGTGCCCGAACCAGCTATTCTAAGTATGCGGCTGCCGCTGGGCTTCAAGAGGGCCTGTTTGGTGTCTGCAAGGCATATGCCCTTTTTGACGAAGGTGTCGGCTATGCCCAGGGTATGAATTTTCTCATCATGCCACTACTATTTAACGTAAGTCTGCCTCTCGCACGGCTTTTGCGACATGCTCACATGCTCTCTAGATGCCTGAGCAGGAAGCTTTCTGTCTCCTTGTTCGACTGATGAATCACTACAAGCTGCGAGATTTGTTTATCCAAGATATGCCGGGATTGCACATGCATCTTTATCAGTTCGAGCGGCTTTTGGAAGACTTCGAGCCAGCATTGTATTGTCACCTTCACCGGCGAGGAATATCTCCTCACCTCTATGCCACGCAATGGTTCTTGACGCTTTTTGCCTACCGGTTCCCTCTTCAACTAGTCCTCCGCATCTACGATCTTATTTTCTCGGAGGGCTTGTCAGCAATTCTGCGCTTTGGAATCGTTCTAATGCAGAAGAATGCCAGCATTCTCCTGGGATTATCTGACATGCAGCAACTCACCACGTACCTTAAGGACAAACTGTTCGACGTCTACATCGATAAAGATCCTAGCCACGGCAGTCTTCTTGAAAATGGTTTCTTTGGAAGCTCGAGCTCTAGCATCGATAAGGAGGTCTACCGTGCAGACCAGCTCGTAAAAGATGCCTGCGAAGTTAAAATCACACCAGAAATGCTCAGATCTTATACCACAGAATGGGAAGAGAAAACCAAGGCCGAGAAGGATCGTGAGAACGAACTCTTGGAGCTCCGCACAGCGAACCATAATCTCTCCATTCAAGTCCGGAAACTGGAGGAGAGGGTTGAAGTATGCGATCGTGAGCAAGCAGATCTGGCCACAGAGCTTGTTCATACAAAGGTTGAAAACCAGGAACTCAAAGACGAGAATGACAGCATGAGGGGTCAAGTTCGGGAGTTAAAGATCGTCATCGAGAAGCAACCCATGGAAATAGAGGAGACATGGAAACTTGAGCGGGACGATCTGATGAAACGCAATATGCATGTCCATGAGGAGAATCAAAGACTCGAAAAGGAGTTGTCCGAGTTGGAAGAAGAGTTGGTCCAGACAAAGCTGCGCTATGCAGAGGTAAGTTCTTCCCATTGCTCACTGATGTTTATTTGAAGTTGATTTACTGACGCATCATTCTAGATCAACTCTCAGCACGAGACCTTGAATCGTAAGTGGACTGACCTGAAGCGTCAATTTGCATGAGAAACTCAGAAGAAGTCCCAAAAACCTGTTCTGGTTATATGTTCCTGAACCATACTTCATGTATAAAGTATTCTTGTTTACCCGATTCCACTTTTAGCTTACTGCAGTTGGCCCTGTTGGCTTAGTAGCTTGCTAAAAATGTCGGATTAGGCATTTGTAATGACAGTAATAAACAGGGGATAAAGACAATGAGGCTTCGATTCCCGTATTTTACTACTATTTGCGATGGAGCTGTTGTACAGCGTTGAGAGTGGTGCAGTATGCTAAAGTATACCCAGCCTTCTGTGGTCCGCAAGGGCATAGGAGTTGACTTATCCCGCCTGTAACGCATACCCCATATAGAATGAATGGAACGGTTTCGAACATCAAGTCACGCTGTGCAAGTACAGAAACCTTGATCATGAAGTAAATTCAGCGCAAGAAAAGTTCATTCCCTAAGGACCCATTCCGATGTGTCATGTTAAGCTCATCTTGTCCTAACTATCGATAGCGAGAAATCCTTGAACACCATACCAAGGGCCGACATTTGGTTCTTTATGTGGCTTTTTTATTTGACAAGTTTACTTGTGGAGCTTACGCTGGTAGAAAGCGAGCTCCTCACCCTCCAGAATGTAACCATCAACACGGCCAGACTGACCGGGTCGGCTGGAAACAACGGCGTAGAGTCGTCCAGCCTCGAACTGCTTCTCGATGGCGCTCTCGACCTTGCCGCGGGAAGAAAGACGGGCGGCCTGCTTCTTCTCAACGGCGTTGGACTTCTTCACCTCCTCCTCAGTCTTGCCCTCCTTGGCAGCCTGAGCCTTCTGGCGTCTTCGGCCGATGGCCTGGCCGTAATGGGCCTCGTACCACTGTCGGAAGGGAGCGGCATCAACTTGGACGACGGCGCTCTTGGTGAGGGTGTTGGTTCGGACAAGCTCGTTGTTGGAAGGGTGGTAGGCGACGGCAATGACACGGGTCTTACGGGTCAGACCCTCGGAGCCCCAGGCAAAGTTGCCGGAGTCGAGACGGAGGGCACGGTACTTGTGGTTACCACCTCGGGTTCGGACGGTGTGAATGCGCTTGGGGCCAATACGGGTGTTGGCACCCTGGCGACCAGCTTCGAAAGCGCGCTTCTTCCCTGTTGTCAAAGGTCAGAACGTATGTCCAAGAGGATCATACGGGCTTTCGGATTATTACGCACGGTAGTAGGCACGCTTGGCACCGGAGGCGGAGCGCTTGTGTCGAGAATCACGCGAGATACCCATGATTGCGGTTTCTGCAAGAAGAAGAAAAGACGAAGTGGTTAGCCGGTGTCTTTGCTTGACGGAAACAGGGAGAACAGAGAAGAGCGAGCAACTCAATCGGCGGGATCTTCGAGATAGGGAATCATCGAGCAGCGCAGCGTATTGATTAATTCGTCTCTTCGTTCTTGTCGTACGGCAACTTACCTGATGATGTTGGCGCTCACCAGGCAATCGAATTGGCGGATGGTCGTGAAGAACTTTTTGGCTGAACGAGGATTCAAGCTACGGAAACGTGGGTGGAGGATTTGGCAAGTGCGACGTTAGGGCTTGCCAACTGATTCGGGTAAGTAGCACGTGACTCGGGAAGATAGATGTTCCACTCAAGCTGGAGACAGCGAAGAGTTCTAGCGCAGGGCCTGATGAACCTCCCCTGTAAACTTAGTAGGAAGATAGTGACCAATAGTATAACACCCAACCAACTCACATCATGAAAATCTCAGCATGACCTGGAAAAGTGTCCCGAGTGTTCACCAAACATCTTATACTATCGTCTTGCCAGTATCAGGGTCAGGGCCAGGTTCACTTGGTTTATATTCTCTTTTGATGTACTATCTATCTGTTGTACTTCCAATGTCTGAATTCCTTCGAATTTGTTAGCAAGGATCGTGAAGATCTTCCTAGCACTACTGACCCCAAAATCTCAAAAGTTTGTCCAAAGCGCCTCCAAGCGTATCGTCGGCGCTGGCACATCCAATCATTTATTTGGGGAAAATGATGTTGAGCGCATGCCATAGGTAGCCCATTCAGCTTTCTGCCGGTTTCTACTTTGAATTTTCCCTCTTTTCAATCTCTTGCTCCTTTTCCCTCGGCCTTCTCCCCAGCTCCTGTCCTATCACACTTCTCGTTGTCCCCTTCCGTCCATTCCGCGTCATCTTCGGTTGCATTTATGGATTGAAGAAGTGTAGCGGGAATGAAAGGGGCTTCGTCTGACTGCAGCTCGATCGGTGGGGCAATAGGAGGCTCTTCTGGCGTCACAGGACAAAGATAATGTGATCCAACTTGAACAGTTCTCTTGTCGTTACGGATTGCCCCCTCAGAACTGCAAGCCGCAGATATTTCTGAAGATGATGTGCAGAAAGTGAGATGCAGCCTTGGAAGAGGCAGGCACCGGCCCTGTCGACTGGAGCGTTTGTCTCCCTCTTCCTTGAATTCGGCGAGGGTTGGCCATCCAGCACCATAAGGTGGCTGATTCCGTGATGTGCTGAAGCAATTGCTAGCTGCGAACACCGGGGAAAGACAATCGGCAAAATTCTTCCCCCGGAGGAGCTTCACAAGAGGTTTGAATTGAGTCCCCACGTCTTCAGCGACGCTCGCATTCGTCTTTGCTAGACGTTGCTTAACCTCTTGATCGAGCTTCCTCGTCTTTGATTCTGCCAGATTTGCCTTGAAAGCTGTCAGCTCTACTGGGCTCTGAGGAACAAATGGAGACTGGTCAGCGCTCATGTAACGCAGATTGGCCATCATCTTCTGAAACGCCTGCCGTTCCTTTGTAGCAAAGCTTGTCCATCTTTTGGATTGAGACCATGAACCCGACTCAGATCCATTCAAAGCGAAAGTCTGTTTCAAGGTAGAACTGAACGTCTGAGAAAGTTGGCGGGCGGAAGATGGACCTCTGGGTGCATTCTGGAGCGGATCGACCAGTTTATCAGTCTCTCGAGTTTTGTTCTCCTCTTGGGGTGTAGTCTCTCGCTTAAGGTTGATCTTCGCACCTCTCACAACGCGAGGAGAATCGTGCGAATTCTGCGCCTGTCGAGTTGGGATGAATCCTTTAATCTTACTATAGTCAGCCACCTTGCGAAGTTCTTTCTTGACTTCCTCTTGCGTCGAGTCGTCACTGCAAACAGCACTGAGGAGTTGACGGTCTTTACCAACAGGCACTGAAGTCATCTAAATATCAGGATACTTGTTGTGCTTTGACCGCAGCTGTGCCCCTCCACTTTGATCATTGATTATATCGAATTGAATTCTCAAAGGGGTTGTCGTATCAGACACATTGGTAGCTGCACCAGAGCTAAAGTTGCTTGCCTTGGCGGAACTAGAGGTACTGGCCTTTTTCTCATGCTGGCTTCCTGTAGGCTTAGTCCTCGAGTCACTCTGTGAATCACTGCCCTGGGAAGCTGGGTACAACTCAGACCTTTGAGGAGGCTGCAAATGCATTCGGTATTGACTATAGGGCTGCATTTGTGGTCGTATATGTGACTCTGGCTGATAATAACCGAAATGCTGTGGCGGCTGCGGCGCATAATACATCCCACTCCCTCCCTCAAATGAAGGCCAATCCATTTGTTCATAATGACTATCATAGTCCACCGGATAGTCCATCATCATCTCTGGTTGAGCCGAATGGGCTGACCACGGGACCGGGGCCAGAGGCCATGTTAGAGGCGAGTATGGCATCATAGGCGGCACCAGCGATGGTCCCATACGTGGCGCATAGTTAATCGGAGGATGCATCATTAGATGGGACCGTTCTGATGGAGAGTGGCTGTAAGTGGGATTCGGGAAAACTAGAGGAACTGGATACCCAGCCAATGGCATAGCTCTCTGGTTTGGAGAAGGTGTACGTCGTAATCTGGAGCCTCGCGGTCTACCGTCTGGATGGGGAGTTGAGGGTCTCCATGCCCTTTTAGGAGACCGAGTTCTCGCTCTGGCGGCAGCCGGCCGCGTATTTGCCCTAGTTTTCGGACGGCTGGACGAGTTGTGAGATGAGGCCGGAGGTGTATAAACGTCGGGTTTGAGGAAATCAAGCGACTTCCTCGGAGTGTAAACTGTCGGTTTTAGATATTCCAGGGGAGGCTCTCTACCTTTCTCTTCCTCGTCATCAGAGGACTGTGAGAACTGATGCCCCAGGCTCAACCGCTCGTCATTAACCGACTTTGAAGACAGGGCCCGGTCGTCTTTGCCTCTGGACCTACAGCGCCTGCTTCGTTGTTTTGTTTTCATTTTCGGACTCCGAATCCTGAGAGGGTCAACTGTGTTCACAGCTTGGAGAGCAGGGAACATAGATTCGTATCCTTCGGGGTCGATAGTAATGGAAGGAATTGTTCTACCTCGGGGTCGTGCTCGAGGCGAGCGCACATCTTGATCTGGATGTCGTGCTTCCATGGATGACGGAGTAGAAGATCCGTCTTCGTCGGAAGAGAACTCATCTTCCGAAGGTTCAACCGGGACAAATGTTGGCGCACAGGGATTCATGATAGTGGCCGGCGATGCATATGTGCAGGCTTTGAAAAGCGATGAGTGTTTTAACAAATCGAATGTGTTGATCAATAATTCGGCTTGACAACAAAGTCAAAAGATGGGCTATGACAAGCAAGTTTGTCGGCTTGTTTCGAGTCATTCGCTTGTTATCAGGTAACCGTAAGCTATAGATCTGAAAGAAGGGCATATGTCAGTTAGAGCTGTCTATGTTTTCTTCTGAGTATGCTTGCCTATGAAATATGATATAATGTCCAGATTTTAAGCCAAGAGTAAGATGTATCGGTGACTTTTCATAGGAGGAACAAGATGCCTTTCATCGACAAAATGGTGATAGTAGTTTGCGGTAGAAGGAAACTGTTTCGGGAAGACTGTGAGTATAAGAGACGAGAAGAAAAAGAAAGAGAAAAAAAAGCTCCTAGTGAAGGGCGAAATAACGAAAGGCTTAAGCGCCGAGAGGGCATGCGCGAGGTTAATACGTGAATGCGTGGCAGCTGATCGCCAGCTGCCGGATAACTAACTACTAGCAAACAAATCGCAGGGAGATGCTGTTTTGGGAACCGTAGTTTGGCTTGGAGGAAAGAAAAAGAAGAAAAGGAAAAGAAAACAAAGAGTGAATATATTTTTACTCCAGGCACCTAGGTAATGATGGCAGCCGCACCGACGGCCATGGTTTAGTCCAGATGAAGAGAGGATTTAAGATCATGGATGACCTAGGTGGTGGTGAGGGACTGATCCTTCTGGCAGTTGTCAGAACGGTCAACGCCAAAGCAAAGTGAGAGATTTGCTGGCTGTTCTATCCAAAAGATCGGGTGATTTTGGCACTATGTTAAGCTATCTCTTGTCCGGCGAAGTTCATAAAGATGTACTTCAGGAATAATGCTACTCATGACACTCCATGACACTCAACACTACCTACAGTCATAATACTGAGCTGTGTAGGTGGGGGCAAACTTGGCTTTATAAATAGAAGATCTATTTGGCAATATGATAGATTTAATATCTTTATAGCTATAGTAGGTATACTACTACTACTGCTACTCATATTAAATACAACAATAACCAGAAGATCAACAATTATCACTCGACTAACCCTACCAGCGTCATCGCAATTATACCCTTGAGGGTTCTTTATCTCTCTGATTCTATTCATAGCATCCAATGGCTTGATGTTAATGGTATATGAAACCCAACTGTGTAAGGTTAGTGGTACCTAGGTATAGTATGTAAACTTGATGAGCATTTTCAGCTTGAAATCAAAGTGGTTTACTCCGTAAAGGGAGGCAAGAATACTTGAGACCTTTACCCTCAGTAACAAAAACGACCAATCCAAGACCCTTCTAATTTCATACTAAACTCACCTGAATCTTTTTACCACTTTAGAGTCGAGGTATAAAATTTTGGCTCCCCGAGTGTCATCTAAGTAATCTACGAAGGAGGTAGTCAATCAGCTGTCTCAATTGTCACAAGCTGACAACCACCTCATGCTTGGGCTTTTCTTTGGCTACCAATTACTGGTATGCGCTGACACCTCTTCTCAACAAAGCTTAGCCCCAGGGGGTTCAACAGCGGGAAGGAGCCTCCATGACATCCCCCCGCCCCTCCCAAGTTCAGGCCGAGGTCCCCGACTGAGAGAGACGGTACGTACCCATCTATCTAATCTCGCCCAATAATTATTTCCTGTTTGTTCTCAACACCATTGCATCCTTTGATAGGATCTTATTCCCCTCCTTTTTTGCCAAGTGGTTCAACTTTGAGTCAACGATACAAACACGATGGCTTCTCTTCGATCTATCTCGCTCACCAATCGCTGTATGTATTTTACTATCTACACTCAGCCTCATTCCTCTTGAGAACAAGTTAACATTCTCTAGCTCCAACGCAACCAATCAAGAACCTTCCGGAGTCGATTGAGGTCAACCCTGATACCACTGTTGAAGGGCTCAAGGTCTTGATTGCCAAGGAAACCAAGCTCGGAGACTTCAATCGCATCGGAATCTATGATCCTACCACGAAAAAGACTCTCAAGAACCGCAAGGCTCGCCTCGTCGATGAGCCCGCCGTAGTTTCCACTGGTGAGGTTCTCGTAAAGGATATGGGTGCGTCGAAACTGGTCAAAGACTTTGAGTGAGCTCGTTCTAACTCTTATCACAGGATATCAAATCGCTTGGAGAACCGTCTTCGTCGTCGAGTATTTCGGACCCATCATCTTCCACGCTCTCGCCGTCGCTGCACGCCCCTACATCTACCGCAATGGAGACGGCGAGATGTCTCGAACCCAATGGATCACCTTTGCTATGATCATGCTACACTTCTTCAAGCGCGAGTATGAGACGCTCTTTGTCCACAAGTTCTCTGCCAACACAATGCCCTGGAAGAACATCTTCAAGAATAGCTTCTTCTACTGGGCTGTCTCTGGTGTTCTCTGTGCATACTCCATTTACCACCCCAACTCGCTTGCAGCCAAGGCCGAAATTCCTGCCATTGATGCCGTTGGTATTGCTCTCTATTGCTTTGGCGAGCTCATGAATGCCCTTGTTCACCGATATCTTTCTAGTCTGCGTTCTACTGGTGGCACTGAGCGCAAGATCCCCGTTGGTTATGGTTTCGGTATTGTCACTTGCCCAAACTATTTGTATGAGGTGCTTGCCTGGGTCGGAGTTATCCTTGTCAGCCGTGACTGGACCGTCGCTTTCTTTATCACTATTGGTGCTGCACAGATGATTAGCTGGGCCAAGGGTAAGGAGCGTGCCTATCGCAAAGAGTTCGGCGACAGGTACAAGAAGAAGAGATACACCATCTTCCCTGGTCTTATCTGAGAAGGAATATATTTGCAAACAGCTATTTCGGCAGGCATAGATAAGGAGACGCATCAATGTAGAAGCTATCATGGGCTACACTTTAGGTGACAAAAGGCGGTTCGGATCGGAGTAGATGTGGTGAATACTCAGTAATAGACTATCATGCTATAGTAATGTTCAATGACGAATGGCTCTCATAGAATCATATACCGCGGAAGCCAGTTCCCTAGTCCTATAATATACTCAGAATGGTCGTGGCTCATTACTCGCTCGGTGATCTTTCGTCTCATCGTGAAATCGTTGACATAGAAGCCGTATCCGATCCCTTTGCCCCCCTTCCCACGCTGGAGTCTGCCTCTGTCAAGCTCCTACTAGCATCGGAAAACGTACCTGGCGCATGGTTCTCCGTATCGATGTCCATCTCAACATCGAGCGTTTTGCGCCCTTCAACACCCTTGCCCCTCTCTTCTCCGTCAAGTCTCATGGCCCGCTGGCCCTCGTCCACATCACCACCGTCACTCTCACTCCCAGCATAACTTCCACATTCGCTGCAGCTACAGCTACGATCGGAATTTGCGAGTCTGACAGTCTCCTCCAAGACGAGAAAGTCGCGCTCCAGCACCTCAGCCCAGTTCTGCACGTTACCGAGCTCCTTTAGCCTCCGCGCCGCAGCATCTGCCTCCCGCGCAAGCTTAACATTTTCGCGACGCAGTCCTTCAGTCGCACGCTGCACATCCTGCGCCTGCTTGCTCAGCGCCGCAGCGTTGGAATGCAACATAGATGCGCGCCATTGCAGCTCAGAGTCCATCATGTTCTCCAGCGTTGCGACGACCGCGCGACGTGCTTCCGCTACGTGGCGCTGCGTCTCGGCTGACGGAAGCGTGGACTGTAGTTGCGGAGGAGGCGGCGAAATCTGCTGCGCTGCGGAGGGGATTTGTGCGTGAGCATGGGCATGGGCGACTGACGGAGATGCGATCGTGGGAGGAGGAGATGTCGGCGGGCGAGGAGATAATGAAGAAGATGAAGAAGACGAAGAGCCTATGGCCGCAGCTGAAGTGCTGGGCTGATGATGAGTGACCGAAGAAGCAGGTGCTGTAGACATGGTGCGAGAGATGCCAGTGCAATACTGATGCACTTTATAATAATTGGTTTAAAGACGAAATCAGAGATGTAGCTTCGCCGTTTCACGTTGCTCATACTTACACTGCATGTTGGTGGGGTTGAGTTACATTTGGTCTCGTCGCGGCTGACAGCTAAGATCATGGGATCTAATTTTCAGGTGTGGCAGCATGATAGACGACTTTTAACACGAGACGAGCTTATAATAGATATCTAATTAAGCGAGCATTTATTGAATCAGACGGTTCGTCTTACATTTTTGAGCCGGTGAACAGTTAGCAGCCTGGACTATTGTGGGATCGTACTAAAGTTTCGTTGTCTCTGAGGCGAATACCAGAAGCATTAGATTCGTTATGTGCTAGTGTACAATGTGACATCTATCTGCTTTGACCCATATCCTTTGCAGTCCCTGATATGTAGTGCCTCGGCAACATTTACAGGTATTTATTTATCTTCGGAGACCGTTGTTGGTCATCATGACGGGCATCTCTTCCCAACTTTTGCTCCTCCCAAAAAAGACAACATTTAGCATTATGCCCATACACAAGCTGCGAACCCTCTCAACGTAAAAGATTAAATGCAAATATAGTTCGACCGACCTGATTTTGGGCAAATAAATGCAAGGCCAACCCCAAACGCCAAGGCTATGCGGTAAAGGAATGGCTTCCGGCGAACTTTTCCCTCAATACGCCAGTTCAAAAAGCCTCAATAAGTTCTAGATATAACCAAATGATCCCCTTTTGCCTTATGCAAATAACAGCAGCGATTGCACCGAACAGCCAGTGTTGACCTCAAGATCCAAGGAAGGACACGGCACTGTGATCTAAAAGGCAACTTTGCCTCCGTTCAGGCGGAGCGGTACTGGTCCCAGTGGCCCATGAGAAGGAAGTATTCCCTCGTCTGAGGACATAGAAGATAGTGAAGACAGTGAGCTGAATCCCATATGACCCTTTCCAAATCCCCCATTGCGCCCCATAGAGATGCCAGGGTTGGCCATGAGAGCGTCGGCGCGGTCAAAGACATTCCCGTGAAATGCCGCTGCGAATGAACCACTTTGCGGCGTCGTGGGAACTGTCGCCTGCATAGCGGGTCCCAAAGCAGCACTCTGTGGCGTAATCGGGACCTGTGTTGGTGACATACCGCGAGGGGGGTAGTGCATCTGCCCGTTCAGCGCACCTGAGGGATGGTTGAAAAGATAGTGCCAAGGGGACTTGGAGATGATGTTGCTGGTTTCCTTAATACTCTGCTGAATCGGTCGCAATCGTGCCCTTGTGTCAGGAGGCAGTGGAACACTGTTGGGGCCGTATTTGATCTGATAGATCATATCCGCCCAAGAGTGACTGAAGTTGTTACAGAGACTCCAAAAGCTCGCTTGTGTTCGAACTCCAGGCTCCTTGAGTTTGATCAGTGACAGTCTGTTCTTGAGGATTTCCGTCTGTTGGATGACATGACCGCACATGGTTATCAAGGCTTTCCAGTGCTGAATTACACTCTCTGGTGTCCTCTGATACATGGCGTTCCTCAAGCCACCTGTTAGTTGGGCTTGGAAACTGGGAAGTGTCCCCATAACGAGATCAGTCGACCTTTGCAAAGATAAAAATATCTTCTCAAACTGCCGATCTTCTTCTGTGAACTCGGAAGACATCCCGCGACTACCTATCGAGGAGAAAGATTCTCCTGATCGAGGAGTAGCCGATGCAATAGTGGCGGTTCGACCATTGCCATTGAGGTAAGCCGCAGAAAGGGGTGTAGGCACGGGTACATCTGTAGCAACACGCAAATTGACCGGATGGTGTACCAAAGTGCCATTGCGGTTGCGAGCTCCTGTTGACCTACCAACAGTGGGGGTAATGGAAGGTTCACGTGCATGCACCCTAAGAGGACGCTCACCCATCTGGTCCCCCTTGGAGGCTGCTTGTCGACGCCCATCTTCTGCACTAACAGACGATAGTGTCACACGTAGTTCCATGATACTGTTGTAGAGTAACATCAGAAGTGTTCGAATATATCGAGCATCTCCGTTGTTTACGAAAGTATCGATGTTATCGGCCAAAAGTGTACAAACGTGGCCATATGCGCTAACCAGAGTTTGACAGGCTCGATGGACGTTTTCGTTCTCTCTTTGGGAGCGGTCGTCGAGGTCGACCAAGGCGTTCTCGTGTTTCTGGATTTCCTGCTCCAATTCCTCAACGTGGGAGTTGGTGTTGTAGAACACGATCTCAAGGCTAGATCGCTTAGCAGACCCATCACTCGTCAAGCTCATGAGCATCTGGATCATAGGATGGATCTGGAAGACCGAGTAGAGGATGCCCTTAGCAGCTTCAATGACTGGATCATAAACTTTTGATTCTCGCCTCCGTTCGGGGAGGACAGAAAGACGTCTCACATAGATCGGGCGTGCCAAGTATGGTTCTGTTGGAGTCGCAGGGCTCTTCGTCGTTGCTTGATTACCTTGCATAGCAGATCCATGACTCAGGCCACGATAATGACTAAATCGATTATTCACTTGCATCTCATCAAGTGTACCAAGGTCAGAGGGTTTTCTGGACACGATTCCCATGCGCCTGTTGCGGCTCTCTGACCGCTCCGCCCTCAGTAGGCTTTCTGAGTTGCTACGAACACGCTCATTGACATTACCAATCGTCAATGGCATGACACCGGGTCGTCGAAAAGCGCTGTTTTGTTGGGAAAGTCCACGATAATGTGATCTCGATGGTATCGGAGGCGCCCTTGATCCAAGATTGGGTGAACGAATATCAGGCAAATCAGCACCACTGACTTTGACAGGGAATCTCCCGCTTGCAACCCTTTTCAATGGGAAGCGAGGGGTTTCCGCGCCCTCACTAGATTCGTCGCCTGTATTGTCAGATTCGGATCGGCCGTTGACGGCATGCTGCTTCAGAAAGCGTTTGATCTGTAGCGTTACCGCCACCTCCGTAACTTCGTTGTCTTTCTGAATGCCTTCATGCGGGGGGCTTGCGGCTTGCACTTGTATTGCATCACGCGGCGGAAAGTTGATAGGATTGCCCTCAAACTTGATCACTTGCAAAGACCCCATATCGGCAATACATAGTGGTAACTCCCGGATTTGGTTCTTTGGGATAGACAAAACTTTCAATGACGAGAGTCTCACAATATCCGGAGGAAGACTTCGAAGTTGGTTTCGGCCAAGGTCAAGTATCTCCAATGATTTCAAATCGCACAACTAGCCAGGCTGTTAGGAAATATTTCGACGGTAAGGAGGAAGACATACAGGCATAGGAAACTCCTTGATCTGATTGCCCCGGATGTTGAGATATCGCAATGATGTGCATTCAGAAAAGCGAGCGGGCAATGTTGTCAGTTGGTTATGAGACAATGCTAGTCTGGAGACCGTGTAGGTATCAGTATCCGACCGCGTTCCTAAAGATGATCCCATAAGAACGGACCGCTCCAGATCCCCCTTGACGATATCCACAACTTCATCTGGTAGTTTTTGGATCCCTTTGCGACTGAGGTCAATTGTGACTCCGGTTCTAAGCCCTGTGCTGACGGCGCCTGCTTCAGCGGCTTGGCTCTCGCTTTCGATGGCATTTTGCATTGCCTCACGCGCGAGACTAATAACCTGAGCTGCCGACATGCCCACGGCAGAAAGAGAGGAACTGGAGGGAATGCTTCGCAAGGTAGGAATCGGAGGTGGTGGTGGCGGTCCGTTAGATGTGGCTGCTGAGTTTGGGACTGGACGTCGTCCAGATACGTGGTTTTCGGGTAAGCTTCTTGTGACTGAAGCCTGCGATGCAGAACTGACGGACAAGCCGGGGAGTCGATCTGGCCGTTCCATGGCGGACGGCCAATATGAGGAATGCGCGGCTCAAGTAAGAAACGTGGGGAGGCGCGCTGGTGGAGAAATCGATCGAGGGGGAACCGTTGGAATTTTATGACGATATGGCGATGCTTGAAGGATGAACCGTTTCAGAAGACTTCTGTTGCCGTGTCTTTATCTTTTGATCAAAGCTTAGGCGCAAACCGAGGCCTGTCTGTTTCGGTGCAAGTCGAACTTGCGATCGGTATCTCTAGCGTTTAGGCCAGTCAAGGCAGTATCGACGACGAGATCGAAAAGGTCATGTTTATATATTCGATCGGAGCCAAAATGGCAGCGCACTGTTCAGGTTTCGGGCCTGTTTGTATCGAGATAATAAGTGTTGGAATTGAAATCGAGCGCACTACGTCGTGAAGACTCAAATAAGAATTGCCGATGGTAGCGATCGGCGAGAACCTGTTGAATGGATACTCCAAAGACAGGACTTGGAGAGAAGGGTTGAAGAAGAGGAATGCTACGGGAAGGGCCGTAATGAGCTGATGCAGACTCGGGAGGTGATGAGGTCGGGCTGAGATTCCGTCTTTGGTAAGTAAGTTTTGCAACACCATGGCAGGAGGATGGAAGGCAAGGCAAGGCAAGGTACCTTAAGGTAAGGTAAGGGTGGTAAAAATACCTAGTAACCGGGATGACCCCCGTTGAATCTCACCTAGCCCTTGGCAGTTTGAATGTAGACTGGTTCTGGATATCAAAAACTCAAAACAGAGTCAAACAAACTGAAGGTCGATAGTGGAAGAGACGGGAGCTTGATAAATGGAGGGTGGTGCTCAGGCACATGCTGCAGCCGATGTAATGGGGGTCCCCGCTATAACTTGGATAGGTACCGAATGCCTGTCTGTCCCTTCTTAGCATGCCACTCGAATATAGTACATCGGCTGGAGGCTCAGGTACCTTGTCGACGTTGATTAAGGACATAAGAAACAGAAAAGTTTGCTCTGGCTACTGATACACATCAATCAATAGGTAAGTTGCAGTTCAATTGTGTAGGTATTTTGTCGAGAGTACCAACTTCTCCCAATCACCCCTGGCAGTCCCTTCCATGTCTCATGCTTCAATAGGGGATAGCGCATCAGATAGGGGTAACAACCCATGAAAGTGTTTTGGTCAGCACTTCACGGGGGCGGTTCAATCGTGGGGCCTCAGCGCCAACGGATAGTTGGACCCATCGTAAAGTGAAACACAGTGCGGGGCGTCTGGTTTGGACTTTGGAGGCTGAAGTCCAATGTACTCCGTAAATTGGTGGTCTATGAAGAAGAAAATATCATATTACATATATCAACTTTTATGAATGACTTATGGGCAATCGAATTTAGTCTTCAAGAATTCACACTCTAGGAACCAGAAGAGCTTTAGTTCATTCTAATCAATATCAGGCTATGAAAATAAATAGATATATACCTTATTGTTATTTTGAAGACTCGAGCTCATCCCCAGAAACCCTTCCCGCCTTCGCCGCTAATACCAGGCTCTTTACATGTCTAGGCTGAACCAGTCACACAGTACGAGTTTTGAATACGTGAGTCCAAACTCGGTGTGAGGACTCCGGATTTTAATCCCTGGAGCTCATGATCCATGTTTCCCTCATCACTTAGTCCGTACAGATAACTACATGATGACAAGAATCAGGAATCCTCTTTGTCAAGAATAGCAGAATTATTGCAAAAGAGAGACGCCCTAGGTCGCATCCTGAAGCCTACCTACCGACAGTACGGAGTAACTCTGATCTTTGACACAAACCAAAACAAGACGAGGAACCACTACTAACTGCTAGTAAACGAGGGGTAAGGTAATTATTGAGAACCTATGAAACAGCAAAGCTAACACCATTGTTGTTGGACATCTCAGGGCATAGGGAGTAATAAAGTTTGTGACGTTACAAGAATGGCGCCAAAATTAATTAGCCTAAAGGTATATTAAGATGTACTAAACTTGCCTCGGTATTTTAGTCGTTCAGGCCAGAAGCCTTTAGTTTTCTTTCACCCTTACCAGGAGTTGCTTTTGTCGGAGGATGGACTTTGAAGATGTCTGGCTGTGCTGTCTCAGAGGAAGAGGCCCCTGTCCGAGCCAACTGCGACAATGCAAGGTACAGAATAATTACAGATTCAATGAAAGCGCCCGAGAAGAGCCAGTGAAAAGCAGAAGCCCTTTTCTCCACGTCATATACAACGCGATGCCACCTTCTAAGCGTTCGTGCTGCCAGGAAACTGTAGCAATTGAGTTTGTCTGGTGCCCCTAGGGGTTTATTTCAACAGCGGCCCGCTACTGTAAGTTGAAAGGCGATGTATGGATATGTCTTATGGTACTGTCCTCAATACAAAACCAACCCACGTGACCTTCATACCTCTGGCTGCTCCAGGTACGGATATCAACTCTTGTGTTTTCCACTCGATAGCCTGAGGTGCTCTAGACCCCCTGCCAATCACTCCCTTTATTCGAAGAAGCAATAACGTTGCAAGGCTGTTGACAGTGCTGATCCGGTGGACCACAGCCGATTTGACTGCCAAAAGCAGAAACAGATCCTCACCAAACAAGCTCCAGCAGATTGTAACTCTGTAAGTTACCCGAGAGAGCTTGCATTGAGATAGACTAAAACAATAACGGTAAAAAAAAGGTCAATCATTATCAACAAGCGCCGGGAAAGCGATTCACCCTTGCTTCCATCTACCATGAATTGATAAGCTCGACACGCAGTCGTAGAGCACTACAATAACAATCAATCACTTTCTTCGAGAATCGTGAACGGCGCCATGCCACCTTTGAAAAGAACAAGCTCATGCACGGACATTGGCTTTACTCTTCGTCGCCAATTTCACAAGGAAGATTTCAGGTAGGCATACGAATTATCCGCTTCTCCTTTTTCTTTTTGCTTGATCCGTTGACATTTCCCAGGCCTCACCAGCGTGAAATCATCGAAGCTGCTCTCGACGGCTTTGATGTTTACGTCCAAGCAGCCACGTCTTTTGGTAAAAGTCTTTGCTTTCAACTACCAGCAGTCATCGACCAAGGCAGTGAGTTTTCGGTCTCTATCCATCTACCTACCTTCCTCTAATCATGAGTTTAGTTACCATAGTTGTTTCTCCTCTCTTGAGTTTAATGGCAAGAAACTCTGACCCACCATGGTTACGAAATCTAACGTCATCAGATCAACCAAGTTGAAGCCCTGAAATCCTCCGGTATCGAAGCCAACTTTTACAGTAGCATAACTCCTTATGATGATCGGCGTCGCATTGAGCGCGATCTTGAGAGCGGGCATCCAAGGACCAGGCTATTGTATGTCACGCCAGAGTTATGTTCAGGCTCACGGTTTCGCGAACGGCTGCAACTGGTCTACAAGCAAAAGGAGCTTGCACGTATCGCCATTGACGAAGCTCATTGTGTGTCAGAATGGGGTCATGACTTTCGAAAAGATTTCAAACGTCTCTCTTGGTTTCGAGACACTTTCCCAGATGTACCAATAATGTGTCTTACAGCTACGGCAAACCCGCAGGTTCGCCAAGACGTACTATCTATTTTGAAACTCGATCAAACTCCAGAAAGAACGAGAGAGTTTTTGATGAACCCTCAGCGTCAAAACTTGCATCTTGAAATTCGGTACACCAAGGACGAAGAAGATAACCGCCTACAGGATTTTCTAAGGTGGATCAACGCTGTTTATGACCGTCGTAAGGATGGTGAGAGAAAGGCAGAACTCGAACAGGTGAATGAAAGAGTCGAAAGTGTTCCTGGGATTATATACACTATATCTCGGGATGAATGCGAGACCCTGGCAGCCTCCCTTCGTTCAGAAGGCATTGGTGCCATGCCCTTTCATGCCAAGCTCGCCAAGGAAGTCAAAGAAGAAACACTCGCCCGGTGGATCAATAACGAGTCTGGGTACGATATCATTGTTGCCACGACCGCCTTCGGCATGGGTATTGACAAGAATAATGTACGCTTTGTTGTCCATTGGCGTATTCCCAAGTCTTTTGAAGGTTACTACCAAGAAGCTGGTCGTGCTGGTCGAGATGGCAATGCAAGCTATTGCTTTCTTTACTATAGCCGAGAAGACCTGGAGCGCGTCACGAGATTGATCCGATCCGATTCCAAAGCTGAGACAAATCAGATTGCCAGACTCAAGAGCTTGCAGGCGCTGGCTCAATACTGCGAAGACACTGATAAGTGTCGACATGCTGCCATATGCAAATACTTCGGAGAATCCAGCACGCCAGACTGCGACTTTGCTTGTGATTGGCACAAGGATCCCCAAGAACTTGAGATGAGATTCATGAGGGGCTTAGCAAGTGAAGAATGGGTGAGCACGCAGGCAATGCAGGGCACTTATGATGATGGGCATTATGACGAGTAACGAAAATGTCATCTCATAAGTGTTGTTCCCTGGCAACTTACACGAGTTTAGTATTCGATGTGTCGATTTGATATTAGTACATAACTGGCCACTGAGATTGGCCCTCTTTACTGCCAGTTGGGAATCCGAGAAGGTCAGATATGTCCCACTCACTAAGATTGCTCTAGCCCATGTTGTTAGAAAAGGTTACTCCCTATACGAAGCATCACTCACATTTGAGAAAATATCCGTACCAAGAAAGTCGCTAGTCAGGCTATCCGAAGCTATCACTGATTCATGGGGTGTTGTAACTGCTTGAATGTCTTTGAGCATTGCCACACAGTCGCGGAGTGTCGATGTCACAGTCTCATGTACCGCCGGCTTCACAGGCCGGCCTGCTTCCAATGCTCGAATATGTGCCAAGTGAGCATTTGAGAAAAGGAGTCTCTTGAGGCTGAGGTTGCCCCGTACGATCATGCAGCGAAGTTGCACATATATCTCTTCGAGGGTATTGATCATGGGAGCACGGGTAGCTTTTGCCATCTCTCCGAGAATATCAGGTTCGTGTGTTGGTGTCGACTCATCTTGAAGTTCGGTGATGATCTCGAGGGCCAAGATGAGCATGGCATCAAAACTTAACGCACACTTGAAAAGGCCACGTCCAACGAAAGACAAGCGAGAAAAGTCATCCCATGCCTGCATCGGCAAGCTAAAGTCGACGCCCTTACTCCCAGAAGCGATGACCAGGGCAGACTCAACACATACCTTACGAGAAAGGTAAAACCGTGGATCGGTCCTTGCTTGGAGCATGAAGTCGCGGTGAAGAAACATAACGAACCGGCGAAGATGTATGTCGAGAAGCTTGCGATGGAACTCGTTCGCCTCTAAGCTTGATCCCTTTCGCATGCTCATCGGATTATGTTGCGTTGAATGGAAGAAGGCGGCGACATCTTGGCACGCGGTGCGCAGCTGTGATCCCAGAGCTAGTGCTTTTTCATACGTTTTCTCTTGTCGGAAGTCGTTCAGTAGGCCTATGACTTCAACTCTCAAAGGCAGAGATTTTGCCAGCATTATTTGCAGGTACGAGTCTGTAAATTTGTCCATCGGTTTTGATGCCCCTGGAGAAGCTAACTCTAAATCCGAGTCATCGTAGTTGGATGGGATGGAAGCATCAAAGTCTTGTTCTGAAAGCTGCAGTGGCAAGCCGAGATCTAGGCATGACTGGACAGCCAACTCCAGCACAGTGACCCATAGTCGAGCTCGAAACTCCCTTTGGAAGAGCGTCAAGCCAGCAAATAGCTTTGGATCACGGTGAAGGCCCATAGTGATGGCGGCGCGCAGTAGAGAGCCTGAGGACAGCCATGACGTTGCTCCGCGACAATTAAAGGTCGATTGACGGGCGATGATTAGCAGACAGAATATCTGCAGACCATCGAGATTGTAAGTGGTTTTTTCATTTGGACCTGTGAGCCACCACTGGGCATTCTGAACCCATGTCTGCGCAAGTCGCCACAACTGGTTCATCTCTTCCTCCGCGTCAAACTTGGCAAAGGTAGTCCCAAGGGCAAGAATCAAGGTCAGTCTGACGAGAGATATAGCTGGAACAGGTTGGGTTTCCTCGCCTGCCCATATCCGGTCGTACTCTCTCTGGAAGGAGGGGATATGGACGATGCGATACAGGGGTTCGAATGTGCGGAGATAACAAGCAATGAGTTCATTGCAAACCACCTTGGAGGGTAAGGTCTCACGAAGGTCCTGGATGGGCTGATCTAGTGTTGGAAAGTTCTGTTTCTTGAGACCAAAACGTAGGATGCGAACTTCTTTCAAGGTGTCGTAAAAGTCGGATTTGGCATCCTCCCATGATGGTTCAATCTCAACGGGGTGGAAATTACCCGAAACAGGAAACTAGGGCAATGAAGATCAGTATGAGAGCTCGAGTAGAGAGTTTTGGGATCTACCTTCTCTGCAGTGTGAAGCCAATGTGTTTGGCCAAATAGCTTCGTTTTTTCAGGTACATGACGCAGCCTGGGTGTAAATGGAGGGATTGAGGTTGATGACTGGGTTGGGAGGGATGTTTGAGGGGCTGGAATAGTTTTTGGAAGATAGCTATGTGAAGTCGACACAGTACTACCACTGTTTCCAGGTTGTGGTGGTTGGTTTACTGGGTTGCGGTGATCTGCTTCTCGACTTGGCTGTGCTCCTGTATCGGCTCCCTGCCTTTCAGTCTGTTCAGCCGGCACCGAGGTGCAGACTTCAGAAGTCCGAACCACTGCAACAGGGCTCCTGTCACGGTAAGAACATTGCATTGGTGCCCGAGCCCGAACACAGCCGTTACAAGGTTGGCCCAGATTGCATCGAATCTTGCGGCGCCGACATTGCTCACAAGACCGAGCGGGTCGCCTTCGACGGCGTTTGGGAGCTGGGGTACTTCCAGCAGAAGATACAACATCCGAGGATTCTCTCTGCGGCATCGCGATCGATAGTCGATTTCGGGTTATGCGATGGCGGATATGTATGTAATATCTTTGTATAAATGAGCATTGAATGCCGAACACTATCCCCGAGGTTTGTTAAGGCCGAAGAGACGAACGATAGTCAGCCAAGTCTAGGTATTTGAGTCGCCGAAGTTTTATGTCCGACACTAAAAGATCGGACTTGTTGAGGTGCTTACCCTGGAGAACAACCGATAATTTTAACATTTGAGGTTTATGGTCTTGCAGTCAAAAAGACCTTATATTCTATCTTCTGCATGGGTTTGCGCTTAAATTTCGCTGGATATATCATGTGTCGTCATCAGTCTGCCTTCGAAGGGGTTCTTTTGCATCATGTTCATATACCAATCAATACTTGTAGCCAGCCACCTCTATTGTCATGAGACTCAACATAACACAATCAACATCGACAAGCACCTTGCACTCCCATCAAATGGAAAAGTGTTCACCTGAACAGTTCTCGTCCATAACTATATCTTATACTTTTTTCCTTTAAAAAGTAATATGAATCAATATTGAAGTAGATCGAATGTTGAAACCCGTGAAATATGCGAGGGCTCAGCAAGTATCTCTTCCCTAAAAAAAGTAAAAGGCACGTAAGCGATTTTGCATTTCATTAGCACATTATTCTTAAAGGAATTTCGTCAGTCACAAGGAATTCAGTATTCAAACCCACAAGATAGATATAATGAGAGGAGCTTCCTTGAAGGCACAAAAATGGCAGACAACCTGACGCCAAGACCTGTTCATGAGCGCCTGTGTTGTCGTGACATAGTGGGAGACCTGGTATCTTAAAAGATGAGACAATTCGAGAAGCAAATAGATGCTAGCCCAACATCCCCTAAACCCGTGACTTGCGAGGCCCAAGAATCCACGCCACTTATTATTATTACGTACTGGCCAACATGGGGTTTCTTTCTGTTCAGCCTAACTCCCATGACTCGCCCCAGATCTCGTTGAGATTTATACCCAACAACTCCAGACTCGGATCCAGGTTGAAGGGCTGAGTGGGATCGCCTCCCATCATCCATGGGGCCTGACTTGGGTCGATCGGAGCCGTAGGCATTGTCGGCGTAAACGAGAACGGTGTCACCGACTGGATACCAATATTAGGAAACGCCCTGCCATGGAAGTCAAGCTTCATTACCTTTGGCCGGTCATGCAGCGGTATGTTAGGCGTGGGTCCCGGTCCCATGTTGCCCGGCGGCACGCCATTCATGGCAGCTGCAAGGTGCTCCCCAGAAACTGGGGGCTCCTGGTTAGCAAGGAGACGGTAGTGCAAATTGACAAAGCGTTCTGCTGAAGTCGACTTGGCAACTTCAGGCTCCTTGGTTCCCAGGTGGGCTTCAAGCAACCCCAGCGCCGCACACATGATAGAATATCCCCATGGCTCGTTGTTGCCACATCGTAATAGACGATCCTCCTTCATTGCAATACATTTCTCAATCAACTTGAGTGTGTGGTGCGAGTTTATCATGATCATGTTGGTGGAACCTCTGGGCTGCAACATTGTGACGCTACAGAGGTTGATGGCTGTGGTCAGAGCGTCTTCTCTGAGAAAGTTCAGACTCCGAACTCCCTGTTCGTACAGTTTGTCGTGTAATAAGACGATGTCTCGTGCTGCATTATAGTATATGATTTCGGAGTACTGGTACTTTGAGTTTTGCTTCCGAAGTTTGAGATATGGCTGATGCAAGGGGATGATGTACTGCCGTAACTGAACATGCAACAATGTGTATGCGATCAAAGGGTTCTTCTTTCCCTTCACATTTTCCAGGTTCATATCCCATGACGGGAGAGCGTCAATCTCCTGTGTCAAATCATTGGTGTATCGAATTACTTGGTCATAATCTATTTCAGACGACGGACCAGTAAGAAGACGACTAAGCTCTAGACGTAAAGGCAGGCTCTGACGAGCTAGATGCTGGAAGGAAGAGAATGTATACTCTTTGACAGGTTTTGATGGTGGGAGTACGGTGGTACTTTCGTCAAAATCATCATCGTCTAAATTGCGAGGGGCGTTGGTGTCGTAGTGAAGCTGGCTAACCAGAGTTGGCAGGCAATGGTCAAAGGAGGCCTGCATGTCGAATTCTTGAACTGTTGCCCAAATTCGTCGGCGCATCTCCTGGTGAAAAACGGTGATCTTTGCTGCCATGTGGCTTGGCTCACGATGTAAGCCGACAGCGATTCCGTCCTGGATGAGTGCACCAGAGCCTGTCCAGAAACGCTTCTTCTTGACAGTGTTGACTCGCTTCCCAAGGTACAAAAGGCATGCTACTTGATAGTGAATCAGGCGTCGATGCTTCTGGCTTTGTTTTGATGACCACTCATCACAAGCCTTGATCCATCGTTCTGCCCAGTGACGAGCATTGGACATCATGCCGATAAACTTGAGGCTTTCGTGAGTATGAACGCAGCTTGCAACAGCCATCATTGCAAGGATAAGGGCCGTGAAAGCGGCATAACGTTTGGTAGACCCAGGTGCCCAATACTCATCGTATTCCTTCTTGAACGTAGGAATGTGAACAATGCGGTGCACTTGTTCAAACTGGTCGAGATAAACATCGATAAGTGCATCAGACTCCTCCTTAGTTGGCAGCAAAGCCTCGAGTTCTGGATCCGAGTCCTCAAATACCTTTTCACGGTCCTCGCGTCGTCTCTTTCGGTCTTTACGGTCATGGAGAATGACTGGGCGAAGCCACTCATCGGCCGTCTCTTTCATGAAAGGACACAGGCCTGTAAGCTCAACAAAGGCCATACTGGCATTGTGTGGGCCAAAGTATCGCGTGCGAAAGCCCCTGCCACGAAAGAAACGAAGCTCTCCTTTCTCGCCCGACATGTTAGTGGCTTCGATGGACTCGTGGACCTCGCGGACGGAAGGATCCTCGACATTCGCATTCCCGTTGGCATCATCTTTCGTCTGGGGAGAGGTCGTCGTGCCAGCCAGGGTGCTCCCATCGAAAGACACACCAGACCGAGAGATTTGATTCTTAAGCTGAACTAACTCGAGCTCCAATCGGCGAATTCGATCGTGATCTTGGCGTACAAATTCGGGATCTCGTGGGGACAAGCCCGTTGCGGGATCAACGAAGCGGCGAGAGTCTAGCTGGGCGAACGGCGGCGGAACTCCCGAGGAAGCATTCACGACCTCGCCGTTACGAGATTCATAGCTGCAACGGTCGGGAGTGCCGCTCTTGATGCAACGCTCACACGGGAAGCCTCGGTCACACGACAGCTTTCGGCGTCGGCACTCCAGACAACTGAGGCGGACACGCTGCCGTTTGCGGGCGGGCGGCTGGCCCGAGTCATCTCGGGACCCAGGCTTTCGGTCACCGTCCGAGTCCGGGGTCTCACTTCGGTCTGAGGAAGCCATAATCGATGACCGGAGCTTATCCAGCGTTGTGCGAATGCCGATACGGATGCGGTTCGGAGTTACGAAGGAGGAGGAGGAGGAATCGCTCCACCAACAAGTGAGAAAAAACACCTTTATCAATCAGATCAGATAATATTGGTAGAAGAGTTTTTGCTTGTGCCGAGCGGAGATACGAAAGCATGGGTCTTCGAGGTGTCGTTGGTGAGGTCAGGTGACCGTCTATCTAATACTACCATGACCAGTCAGGAAACTGAGAGACATGTTGGACAGCTAATTGATACAATTCCCATGTGAATTGATGCAATAGACGATTACTCGCCTCAGTATTTAATTCCCTCGATTTGTATATATTGCCTATCTCGTTCAGGCTCCTCGGAGTTCCGAAGGGTCGGTCACCTCTACGTCCAGATGAATCTATTAGTTGGATTCGTAACTGGAGACGACGCCAGCTGCCCAGTCAACATATTGCCAGTCATCTCTGATGTCAAAAGCTATTTTCTTGTCACAAGAATGAGCAGATTGTCAAAGAACATCAAAGGAAAATGGCGCGACAACGACTGGATCATTCAAACATCGGAATATAAATTCGATATAACGACCACTTACAGTTGACACTGGAACGTCTACATGAGCACTCAAGACTCGATCATTTATCAGCGGAGTACAGCTGCAGGGACCTCTTCAATGAAAAGCCAAAGCCAATGTCAACTAACTAACTACCTAACTAACTAACTAACTAACGCGGGGCGGAATGGCCCTCCAACCTGAAACTGAAGACTGACTCGTATGGCGGTCAACAGAAGGCCAGGTTCGTTCTGGAAACGCCTTTTACTTGGAAGGGCATACTCTTGGCGTAACTATTGGCAAAAGGTTAAGTTGTCACACCCAAACTGAAGCTCTTTCAGAAGAGTCATCACGAAACCACATTTGCAACACTGCAATGTTTGGGATCCATACTCACCTGTTGGATCTTTGGCCAGGCTACAGAGGATCACACGGTCTGTACTGCACTATTCCGGAGCTGTCGTTTCACCTGAAGCACGCAGCAATTGCGGTACAACGCTACCCCAGTTTTTGCTCCAATTTGCTTCGCCAGACGCCGCCAAACGGCGCTGCACGATCTTGAAAGAGGCTTTAAAACCGTTGGTTGATTTAAGAGTTATGCTATGTATCGAGGCTTGTTGAAGCCGCGTGTTTGCTATGTCGTGCATTGGTCCAACAGGACACGGGGTAAAGAGGTGTCAATGCATACACCACAAGTTTCACTTGCTTACGGGATCGAGGAGGTGAGCTCAATAATCAGACCGGAATATCCGAACTAAATCTCGATAAAGTCACAGAGAAAGAAACCGATGTAAATAGCATTGCAGCTAATCCTCCCAGCGCCCCATGTAAGATCATCTCCGCTATTTTGGGACTATCCTCAATGCTAAATGTGCCTTATCCATGTTGGATGCACAGGGGCTGCATATCAAAACCGGAATGCAAGAACGTACAGGGCTAGTAACTAGTCTTGTTACAGCTGGATGCGGTCCTCATGCCCGCCCAACTTGGATGAAGCCCCTTGTTCAAGTAGATCTGGGGGTATATATACTATATGATAGTTAGGGTAACCCATGTCTTGCAATATTTGAGCATCCTGTCATTCCCCTGTTTTTGTTCACTGCTTCAGCATCACCAGTCCTAATGCTACTGGACGGGTATGAAGCTCACACCTTGGGCGATCTGCTCTGTAGCACTCGCTGCTGGAGTGTTTGGCGCTGACAGGCCTGAACTCTTCAAGAATCTGCCTCGTTGTACTGTAAGTCTCGTTAGTCAGTCATATACCACAGTAAGACCTTGCTATACTAAGGGGCTCCCCGAGCTTTTGGCTTGGTCTAACAAGTCTGAGGTCTGGATGCGGTTTGTGCTTGTACTAACAATGACTTGAAGTTCTCATGTCTCGAAAAGTACGACAACTCGGATTTCGAAGCCGTTGATATATGCAACAACGAAGATGTTAAGCGGGAGCTAGATAACTGCTTCGCAAACAAGTGCCGTGATTTCGAAAGATTCGGTGCGCCAAACGTTCTGGAACACAAATGGGATAGAACTAACAAGCTCTAGATATCGCAAAGATCTATGCCAATGCGTGTGACAGCAAGCAAAAAGACAACCGGAATAACCACTATGTTCTGTTAGTTGTAGAGATACCAGCATGGATCTCTCCTTGGCTTAGGCTGTATTCGAGCTGGATTACGTATGAGAGTCTTTCTCTGGATGACTATGTAATGGTAGTTTGTGGAGTAAGTTGGTACCCGTTACCACAGATCATCATACCTAACCAGCTTTTAGTTATTATACACTGTCTTTGCAACTCTGGTACACTTTGGTGAGTCCCATCTCTGAATGAGTGTGTGCTTGTGCTTACCAACCTCCTTAGCCCACTCTGTGACAGGCGATACAATCTTATGGAATGCGGTTCCGGAATACATTACAGACGGATTAAAGGTTGGTTTACAAAGTGCAGTTTTGAGTCGCAGGATGTTAATGTTGAATTACCTAGCTTGTTTTCATGGCCGACATCTTTGAGCTTGCCTGCTCGTGCCTACTTAGAGTCGCGATCCTTCTCGTATGTCTACGCTCATCATTTTCTGGCAGAGGCATAGCGGCCACAGCCGCGACCCTTGTACTCGCCATCCTCTCTTCGATTGCTTTGGCCCTATTGAGAGTATTTCGATGTTCACCAATTGCTTTCGCCTGGGAAGGTTGGGAACCAAATGGAAGAGATGAGGACACAGGAGGCTGCTTGGCTCAGGACTCACTTGCATACACGGCTTCTTCGATCGACATGTTCCTAAACCTGGTGCTCCTTGCTATGCTTTCTCACCTGATCTTCAGCCGAGTTGCAAGTAACACAACATCTTGGTTGCAAAACGCCACCGCAGTTATGCTGGGAGCATTCGGTCTGGCTGTGTCCTGCTTTCGACTGCACCTTTTAATCGATTTCTTTAAGGCAATGCAGCCAGTTTGGAAATATCACGAACGAATCGTTTGGATGGACGTTGAAATTTCGGTCTTGATTATGTGGGCATGTCTGCCTACATGGCAGTGCTTCACAGACTCAGTGCCTCCGAGGGATGTCGAGGAGGTCAGCCGCCTGCCACAGATAACAGAAGAGACCATTATGCCGGAGACACCGTCAACCGATACGAAGATGCCGAGGCCGAGTTTATGTCAGAGGGGGGTGTTAGGGATCTTGTCAAGGGGACGGCCGAAGAAACTGGTGGAGTCGAACTTACATCTGGGAGACAAAACCTATGGAAACGTCAGAACAGAAATTCAAGGAGGTCAGAGATTTTCTATGATCTCCCAATTGACGGGCATGATTGGTATCCAGGTCCGGACGCGGACGATTAGGCATGTGCACGACAGTGGATGGGACGCGGAGAAGGGATCAGCAAGAGAGAATATAGAGGCTGCCTAATGATTAATGAACTTCAAAACACACATAACGAAATAGTACTTCTCCATCAAACAAATTTCGACAGGATTGCAGCTTCGTAGTTGAATGGTAAAAGCTTCAAGGAGAAAAGATAGAACTTCCGGACTGATAGCCATCAATAGCACGTGGAAAGTTCGATTGCTTATTAGATACCTGAATCCTATTTCGATGACCAGGCTTTCTTTGAATCTTCTGTTTTTTCAATTAATTCGCGAGTAACTAGGTATCCTTGTCTCTTTATGGCCTCGGGAACTGAGTTTTGGCAAATATTTGGGCTCCACTTTCAACTTCACCCACCAGCGCCGACTCCGCGCTCCCATCCATCTCAAACACTCAGCGAACCCGCATCCAAACAAAGATCACGGTGACCCAACAAAGAATTTACAGTATCTAAAATCGACAAAAATAAAACAAAATGGCCTCTACCGATGATGCTCGCAAGAGCCGCATCGTGTCGCACATGAACAAGGATCACACCAGAGAAATCACCTATTATCTCCGCCATTATGCCCATCTCTCTGCTTTAGCTGCATCGTCTCCCGTGCTCAAAGATATCGACCTTAACGGCATGACTATCAAGTCAAATGATGGAAAAGATCACTTTGTCCCTTTCTCGCCTCCTCTCTCCAGCTGGGCCGAGGTCAAGGACCGCATCATCGAAATGGCCAACACAGCCCGCGAAGGACTGGGCCTTAGCGACCTCATCATCACAGCCTACACACCCCCAGAGGGGTTCGGAATCTTTGTTACAGGATCAGTTCTTTTCTACTTCTTCTGCGCCGGGACACTGCCGTGGGTGCAGCCTGGCACACGCATCTGGGAGCTATTGAACGAAGGGTTCCCTGGAGGAGCAACCTTCTTCCGCTGGCTTGTCAACGCCATCTTTTGGCCCGTCATCGGAATTCACCTTGTTGAATGCTTCTTCTTCGACAAGAAGCTTCAGAGACACGGCGTAGCGAGATTCTCTGGACAGTGGTGGCTTTGGCTCAGCAACTGCTTTTTCGAGGGGTTCCCTGCCTTCAAGCGCGTGGATGCCATTGTGGCACGGAAGCAAGATAAGAGTGGCAGGTCTCAGTAATATGGACCTGGGAGGTCATGTGCGAATCACAGAAGTATCTTTGTACCCAGGAAGGTTCTGAGCCTCTTTCCAGTTCTTCGCGGCGAGTTTGAGGAGGGTCCACATCTATAATGTATCGAAACGTGGGTGGTGGCGTTGTATGGATGAATGCTAGTTGGAAAACCCAATGCTCCTTTGAATTGGGGTGAATCTGACAAGCAAAAGGGTGGTTAGCATCATAATGTGGTGTAAGGACCATTGATGAATGGATTTCAAGTGGTACGGAAGTAGGATGTATCATTGCCGTGATCGTAATTATATACAGCTAGAGATAAAGAAGACGACTAGAGATAAAAAGGGTAATCGATAGACCACCTCAAGGCCTTCAAAGACATATTGGTACAAATCGTACCCTTGGGTTTCTTCCTCTCCATGTCTATTATTTTGCGGCATGTCGTCCACAATATCAAGTCAGCATACTTGCTAAGAAAGTGGAAAAACATACATAGTGTTTTCTCGAGTGCCTTGCCTTTTAATTGTGAATTAAGCACGTTAAATTAGATATTCAGCTTGCCGTTGGAAACACTCACTTTCCCAGCCTATACGTGTTACTCGGTTTTCCTCTGTGCGAGATATCCGAGATTCGGTGTCCCGAACGGATCAAACCACTATGCATCTGACATGCTTTATCTGCAATAATCATTCGACAGTGCGGGGGTCGCGTCGTGAACAACCACTCGAATTGCTCTGTGGAAGTTTGCAAACCATTATGCTGTCGCCTCACCAGCTGTAGTATATTGATAGGCGCTGAGGAAACCCAAAGCGGCATCGTCTTGTTTACAACTGACGCCAAATTGAGGCTTTCGATTCGTTGAATTGGTTTGATGTGTTGACAAGTAAGTCAGACATGTAACATGACATACATACATATTCGACTTGCGTGCATGAAAGTCAACGTACTAAGTATCCCACTGGTGCCCGCGAGATCGCTCCTGCTGGCCATTCACGACGCTTCTGGATTGTCAGCTCCAGATGAGCCCTACATATCAGTGTACGATCTCACTCGGAGAAGCCACATCCGGCTTTGCGGAGTTCGCAATTGCGGGAGATTGATTGTGAAAGAACTCTCGTGAGGCTCTCACCAACTATTTAAACCTCACAATCCTCGTCTTTGAACCCGCCGGCTTTTAGCTCGATAAAGATTGTTTCGAGACATCTTCTCTTCCATGCCAGGCAGAATTCCGTCCAAAGCCCTCTTGAATACTATTTATTTGCAACAACCAAGTCCACGCATCAACCATCAACTGAGCTAGAACTAAATATGCAAATGAGTCAATCAACCAACTTTTGATAATGCCCTCTGTGGTGGACAAAGCAAGTCAATTCTCCTTACAACGCAAACGCTACGCCTTCACAGACCGATACCTCGCTGGAAAGAAACGGTTCACAAAACTCTGCCATCAATTCAACTTCTCGTCCTTGATTCAACACCATCGTCTGGTTTACCAGCGATCGGATATGCCTCAGCAAGATTCGGAAGAACAAGTCTTTGTAACTAGAAACAAGAGGTCTTCCGCATCACCTGAACCCACCCAGAGTCACCACTCTCAACAAGTACCACACACTCTCACTTCACGTATTTATGCACCTACTGACTGCGCTTCTAGAATCCTTCAAGTGGTGGATCAAATAAGCCCCGGGCCAGCAACGACCAGGAGAGCGGTCAGGGCCGTCGAGGTTCGCCTGGCGCTCAGTAAGTCATGGCCATATCAAAGTCCACCTTCACGATGAGGCCACTAACGCGACCTAAGAAGCGGTCTAGACAATCCACCCGCTGCAAGAATCCGTCGCGAGGCCATAGAAAAGTGTGAAAAGCTTCTCAGTGTGCCCTTTCCTCATAGTGTTGAAGTGCAAGCCGCCGATCCCAGTCAAACGGACGTCGAGCCCACGAAACCGTCGGCGGCCTACTTGGACTACTGCATCAACAAAGAACTGAGACGGCGTAAACAGAATATCGTTGATAATTTGATGGCTGCAATCTCGGAATGTGTTGAAAGAAGACTGGAAGCACTCGAGGAAGAGTGTGAGCATACTTCCGGATCACATAGTTCGCGTGCTTTTCACTCAGGAAAACACATACCACAAACAGCTGGCCAAAAGAGATCCAAAGGTCAAAGTGGCAGAGACGAAAGTGAGAATGAGGAGGAAGGAGACGACAAACTTCGTAGAAAGAAGGACAACAAGAGGACAAAAACCATAAAGGACGACTCTCGCCCTCGTTTTGCCTGTCCTTACCATCAAAGGGATCCCAAGAGATTCGGCACCGAGAGAACATGCTGTGGCCCGGGGTGGTTGGAAATCGGCCGAGTAAAGTGAGTCAAGCTGGCCCCTTATCAAGACAATTTACTAACACTGATATCTAGGGAACATCTCGAGCGAAGACATAGTCTGTCTCCACATCAGTGCAATCGATGCCTTCGCCGATTTGACGATGAGAAGGACCTGAAGAAGCATCAACGGATGACGAATCCGTGCCCAGTAAAAGAGACAAGCGGCCTTCAACGAAACCTTCTTGATGGCTACGACGAGGAACAAGCAAAGAAACTGAAAACAAGAGTGAGGATGAACCCTGTTGAGAAGTGGAGGGAGTGGTATTGTGCTCTATTTGATGTCAAGCCTGATTCTCCTGACATTCCTTCACCTTGTAAGTTACAAAATCTACTCCAAACACACCCTAAAATATACAAAGACTGAGTCATGTCCCAAGATTATGATCCTTCTCTCTCAACCACTCGGGCAACAACCGTCAAGGTCGAAAACCCTGCGGAATTGCGTTAATACTGGATCAAGGCAAAGCCAGCAATTGAACACCAAGTCGCCATGGTAGTAGAAGATGCATTTAATGACTGGGAACCTCAATTGAAGGTGACTGTCATGGAACGTCTGCAAGAGCTGCCTCGCATAATTGCAGACCAGTTTCCTTTCCCAGGACTCAGCCCAGAGGAGACTTCCACAGCAGCTGATGACTTTGGGCTTTACTCCTGCTTGGACTATTACTCATTTGCCCCAGAAGACCTGGGAGAGGAGCCTTTCGACTTTCAAGCCATAGACGACGGGGCTATGCTGAATAATTCGGCAACGTTTGATATGAATGAGTCTACGGACTCCTCAGACGCATATCAAGCCAGTGATAGCTCGGCCACGTCTCTGGGAGACGATGCAGCATACCAACAATTCGACTACAAGGCAGCTGCGATGCCGAATAGCATTGATCTGAGTTTCCCAAATAATGACGGGTATTACTAACATCTGGACCTATATCATGAGCTATCTCCGTTAGTTCGTACCCTCTCTCATGTTTTTCATATCTTGTTTCCGCCTCCCTATGTTGCTTGATGACATAAAACCAATGAACCTATCTCCTACGTCTCTTTTGTCTGTATTGTTTGATATTGATGCTTTCTTTCGCAAGGTGCCGACCTCCGGACATTTCACATTCGCTTTGGCTGCCATGCCAATCTCAGTGGGAAACGGACATCTGAACCCTGCTTCATATATGAGAGTGCGGAAATCATAAATATTCATCCTCCTCAATGTTTATGTACTATGGAGCTAGTTGCGTTGAAATATATTCCTTTGTATACCACAAGATACCCCAGGTGTAGGTGAAACACCCTTCAGTGTCGTCTAAAGATAAAACAACTAATCACTGTACATGCATGCACCTGACTTAACAAGACTTGAATTTGTGACACAGGTGAGTCAGGCTTGAAAGGTAAGATGATACAGACATCTGTTATTTCTGGGAACAGTCTCCCCTGGTAGGCCTCCCACATGAAGGCGGGGAAGGATTTCGTC